TTAACCAAAAAAAAAAAAACCCAATTTGGTTTTTAAAATTTTTAAATTTCCATTTTTTAAAATTTTTTTTTAATTTTTAAAAATTGGTATTTTCCAAAATTCTGAATTTTTGCATTGGCAAAATTATTTTACAAAATGTAAATTTTTTTTTTTTTTGTTTTTTCAGAAACTGTTTAAAAAAAATTGGAGGGGCTTGTTTAAAAAAATTAAGACCAAGCTTGAAAGTTTTTTAAACCCCGGTAGTCCGAAAACCCGGGACTTCACGCGGAAAAAACAAAACCCCGCCAAAGAACCTTTATGATGATGATGACCCCCTACGGGGTCCCGGGGGGTGGGGGGCCGGGGACCAAGACCAAACCCTCAATGGGGCCCCTTTATTACATTCACTGTTTAATAAAAAAATAAAATTTTCCCCTTGTTTTTTCTGCTTAAAAAACCCAAAGGGGTATTTTGACAGAAAGAAAAAACTTTATAAAAAGGAAAATTTAAAATATTGAAAGCAATTTTTCCCCTAAAGCAAAAATTTAATACATTTTTTTTGTATAATTAGAAAATCTACATGTATTTATAATAATGTCATTTCAATTTTTTTGCCTCAGCCACCATGCATCTTCATAAAATCAGTTGCTGAAAAAGAAAATTTCAAAAAAGAAAAGGCTAACAAGTCACTTGTAAGAAATTTTTATTGAAATCTTACACCATTACTGTTTTAGGAATGAACCAGAATGATCCCTTTCCTCTTGTTTTCGGTCGCGGTTGACCTTGACACCCCTCCATTTGGTGGTAGGGTGGAGGTATGTTTGTTTTTAATCCCCAATGAAGGGGAAAGGGAAGAGGACGCCATTTTGGCAATGGATCCAAGTACCGGGGATTACCCTTCCCAGACTACACCGGTAAGATTAGATATTTGTATTCTTTTAGTCCCTTTAAAAAAACTCCACTGAGGTCCAATTGGGCCTAAAATGATAAATTTTTGAAATTTTTTTTGAAAATCAACTGGTACATTTAAATTTAAAACCAAACTCAATTTTATGCGATTTTAACGTCCGATTTAGGTGGAAAGCTTTGCAAAGGTTTTCTTTTTTTGGGCCAATTTGCACAATAAAAGTGATTATTTCTGGGAAACGGGGTGAGCGAATGATCTGAAATCTTGTACACGAGTTATTGGTCTAGACATAGATCTAGAGATACAAAAATTTAGAAAAATACTTCCGGTCCCTTCATGTCAAAAAACCCCTTTAAGCTTCTGGAATCAAAAGCATTTGTCACCAGTAGAGAGCCAGGTCTGCATGTACATCTGTGCTGTCTGATCAAACTCTACACCATTGGTAGCTCAATTTTTGTATGTATTAAGGCATGACCATCACACAATTTCAGTAGATTAAGTGTAAGAATGTATGTGTTGATAGCTCTAGATCTGATCTACTGAAATGAAAATCTGATCTGTTAAAGATACAGTCCGCATCGTACTTGCATCCACCTTTATTAGGCAGCCGCATAAAATCCCTCCTGATGATTTTTACTATATAAGTTAATTCCATTAAACAATGTTTTTATATCGCAGCCAGCATCCACTAAATGTCGGCCAAAATATATGAAATTAGGTGTTAAATATCTATTAAAGGACCGTCACAAATAATTTGTAATTTAAAAACAAATTGTATAACAATTTTAATCGTTTCAAAATCGGAAAGAAAGAAAGAGTTTTTTTATCGTAATATTTATTGTGACATATTTTGTCAGAGCAATAACGTATCACAACACCGCTTTTGCTGTGCTCATCTTTGGGTAAAATACTTTTATTGCAGAAATTATTTGAAATCTTGTATATTATTCCCGAATATGTCTAATTTGAATATAAACTAAGTGTAGGAAGCTGCATTCCTAATAACTTGTAAAATTAATTTTGTCTATTTTTATAAAAACTGCTGGTCTTTTTAATGACACTATGTAACTATGTAATCATACTGTGATTGCCTGTATTGTATAGTGTTTAAAACATAACATTTTTTCTTTGTTTTCTGAAGATGTTTAATTTTTACATTTCAGAAGAAACTGTATTGTAATTATCAGCGTTTTTTTTCAAATATCAAATTTGAATAAAATACTTGTATATCTTCAAATAATGCCAGGAGTACAAGTAATAGTATGGCAGCATAAATTGTATCGTTGGTGATGAATTACAAAGCCAGAGAGGGGGGGGGGGGGGAGAAGGCACAATATCACAACAAAGTGTTAGATGATAGCTACTGCAAAATCATTATTATTTATTAGGCACTTATTAGCTCACCAGAGCCGAAGGCTCAGGGTGAGCTATTAGTATCAAAGGGGGATGCTCCGTCATCCGTCGTCATGCGTCAACAATCGTCTTCTTCTCTGAAACTACTGGACAGATTTACTTCAAATTTAGTCTGTAGCATCCTTGTGACAGTCACACTTGAATTTGCTCATGTCATTCCAATTGGCCCCTTTTAGGGGTCAGCAGAGCTAAAAATAGAAAAACCTTTAAACATCTTCTTCTACAGAACTAATGGATGGATGATCACCAAACTTTGTCTGTAGCATTCTTGGGTAGTGTTTTATCAAGTTTGCTCATATAAATTTGATTGGCCCCTTTTAGGGGTCTATAGGGCTAAAAATAGAAAAACCTTTAAACATCTTCTTCTACAGAACTACTGGATTGATGATCACCAAACTTTGTCTGTAGCATTCTTGGGTAGTGTTTTATCAAGTTTGCTCATATAAATTTGATTGGCCCCTTTTAGGGGCCTAAAAGCTAAAAATAGAAAAACCTTTAAAACATTTATTTCTACAGAACTAATTGATGTATTATCACCAAACTTTGTTTGTAGCATTCTTAGGTAGTGTTTTATCAAGTTTGCTCATATTAATTTGATTGGCCCCTTTTAGGGGTCTCAGGGGCTAAAAATAGAAACACCTTTAAACATCTTCTTCTACAGAACTACTGGATGGATGATCACCAAACTTTGTCTGTAGCATTCTTGGGTAGTGTTTTATCAAGTTTGCTCATATTTATTTGATTGGCCCCTTTTAGGGGCCACTAAAGCTAAAAATAGAAATACCGTTAAATGTCTATTTCAAGAGAACTAATTGATTGATGATCACCAAACTTTGTCTGTAGCATTCTTGGGTAGTCTTTTATCAAGTTTGCTAGTATTATTTTGATTGGCCCCTTTTAGGGGTCTCTAGGGCTAAAAATAGAAAAGCCTATATACATCTTTTCCTACAGAACTAATTGATGGATGATCACCAAACTTTGTCTGTAGCATTTTCGGGTAGTGTTTTATCAATTTTGCTCATATTAATTTGATTGGCCCCTTTTAGGGGCCGCTAAAGCTAAATATAGAAATACCTTTAAATGTCCATTTCTAGAGAACTAATTGATGGATGATCACCAAACTTTGTCTGTAGCATTCTTAGGTAGATTTTTATCAAGTTTGCTAATATTATTTTGATTGGCCCCTTTTAGGGGCCGCTTAAACTAAAAATAGAAATACCGTTAAATGTCTATTTCTACAGAACTAATTGATGGATGATCACCAAATTTTGTCTGAAGCATTGTTGGGTAGTCTTTTATCAAGTTTGCTCATATTATTTTGATTGGCCCCTTTTAGGGGCCGCTAAAATTAAAAATAGAAATACATTTAAACGTCTATTGCTACAGAACTAATTGATAGATGATCTCCAAACTTTGTCTGTAGCATTCTTAGGTAGTCTTTTATTAAGTTTGCTCATTAATTTGATTAGCCCCTTTTAGGGGTCGCTAAAATTAAAAATAGAAATACGTTTAAATTACTTTTTCCTACAGAACTAATTAATAGATGATCACCAAACTTTGTCTGTAGCATTTTTGGGTAATCTTTTATCAATTTGCTCATATTAATTTGATTGGCCCCTTTTAGGGGCCGCTAAAGCTAAAAATAGAAAAACCTTTAAACATCTTTTACTTCAGAACCAATTGATGATCACCAAACTTTGTCTGTAGCATTCTTGGGTACTCTTTTATCAAGTTTGCTCAATCTTAATTTGATTAGCCCCTTTTAGGGGCCGCTAAAGCTAAAAATAGAATAATAGAAAAAAACCTTCGAACATCATTTCCTACTGAAATAATTGATAGATGATCACCAAACTTTGTAGCATTCTTAAGTAGTCTTTTATCAAGTTTGCTAATATTAATTTGATTAGCCCCTTTTAAGCTAAAGCTTAAATACCCCAGGTCATGGCATTTCTTCAAATTATTGTTTAAACATATTCTATGCTCAAATTTAATATTAGAATATATTGACATTCCAACACTGGAAAGCAGTTGTTTCTGGTGAGCGTCTCAGGGCCATCATGGCCCTCTTGTTTAATGGTTTTAGTGGATAGGTCAATCAACAAATTTAAGATCCAACTAAATTTTATTTCGTCTGCTGTAAGATTATTTTGTATCACATTATTTATATTTTACCTTTTGGAAAAATAAACAGTCCACAAAATTAAGTACCCAAAAAAATGTTCTTTGGTGATAAAACCACGAAATAAAGTGAATTCACAGTATGTGGAATTGATTCTGATACATAATAATCAAATGTTTCTATTGAGTTTAGTGTAGTTCCAATAACTTGAAAAAGTTAAAAAACAAATATCAAACATAAAATTTCTAAGCTTAAAATGCCCCTAACCTTGTTTTTCTGCAGCAGTTCATTTTATTAATGAGTCAGCTACCGAGTTTTGTGGATATTTGAAATTGTTCTTACAAGCTTGTTGGAACTACATTAGTGCAAAAAAGGAGAGAAATAAAAAATCCCTAAAGAATGCACAAACAAAAATTGAAAATGTTGCAGAGCCTGTTCATGGACGATACTGGGAAGTGCAAGTTACCATCCACACCCCTTAGCACTGGGTTAAGAAGTATTCAGCATTTAGATATGAAATGGTAAAATTTGACATTTTGAAATATCTGTAAGTTAAAGGTACATCCATAGTATATTTTGACTATCTAGGAAATTTGAGGGTAACAGTAAACTGTAAGTGCAATCTATTTGCTTTCACTGGTATTAAATCCATTAAAATTTTTTTCAGAGGGGCTGTTCCACCAGGTGCAAGGTTTGATCCTTTTGGACCACCTGGAACCCATCCAGGACAGAGACCTGGGTAAATAAATAATCTAATATCCCTTACCTTGACACCACAGGGCAACATAAATAGAGAATGTGTTTATCAATTATATTTTCTTATTCAAAATTGCTCACAGTTTGTTGTTGCCAGAGTGTTTGGTTACACCACCACTTTGTAGTGAAATAACACAATTTAACCTCTTAAAATTATTTAAAGCATTACCCTCTCTCAACTATTACATGTATTATATATTTTTATAATAACTGTTACATAATGTTGCATTGAAATAATAGTCATAGATACATGTGTAAGACTTTGATACTATGTACATGATGTATGATGCCTTCTAATCACATTTTATGCCATAAAGATCAGAATACAGACTTGATTACAAAGAATTTCACGTTTCGATTGTCTTTATATTTTAGGCCAGATCCGGACCATATGAAACCACCTGATTATGATGATATGTTTATGTAGGTGTCAAACTCTGTTTATGTGTAGAAGATTCGGTATTCAAGTTCTGTAACAATGGATCATTGGTGGGGATGCTTGGAACTGTCAGAAGGAAAAGCAAATATGTTGCTGTCTTATTTCACAAGTGAAGAAAGTGTAGATGAATGAATAACTTTATAAAAGGTTTCTTTTTGTCAATGCACATTATGAATAAGACATCTCAAGAGGGGATAACTGACTGGTTTTCTTTTATGTTAGTTATTTTAATACAGAGTACCAATTTGAAGCCATGATAGCATCTGCAATGTGTTGGCATATAGCAAATCATCTCTGTCTCTAAAAACTGTTTCCTGAGACCAATGTTATAGAATTTGGAACTTTTCCAACAAATTGACTTAAAATAGAGGAATGTTGAAACATTAGTTATACATTAATCCTGATAAAAATTTGGTTTTTTGATTAACTGTTGTTTAAACATAAAATCTTTATTTGTCAGGGAAACTTAACACATATTTCTTGTGGGTTCTAACCGGTATGGACTTTTGTATTGCTTGTAATACTCTGCTTGTTAATTTTGATTTTTGTCTTTGCGTAGTTAAGTTGAATATCAAATAAAAAGTGTAGTTTGTAGAAAATTATAATGTTGAGTGCACAGACACATGGGGTTTAGAGCTTAAAACGCCTTTAAAATCCAAATCAAATGTATATTTGTCAATCCCAGCACATGTACTGATCATTATAATATATCAAAAAACTTAATATAAGCCGTTTTGAAAAAAAAATAAATTTCAACGTCTGAAATAGTTGAAATATGATTTTTTTCAAAACGACTAATATTATTGAAAAACGGGACGTATAATGGGAACGCCCCTGGCGGTCGGGCGGTGTCCAATTTTGTCCGGAGCATATCTCCTACATGTATGGAGGAATTTTAATGAAACTTCATAGAAATGTTCACCACTATGAGGAGCAGTGTCGCGCATATGAACCAGGTCTCTAGGTCAAAGGTCAAGGTCACACTTAGAGCTCATTGAAAAATGCTTGTCCGGAGCAAAACTTCCACATGTATAGAGGGATTTCAATATTACTTGGCACAAATGTTCACCATTGTGCGGCGGAGTGTCGCACGCAAGATTCAGCAGTGCGTTCAGTTACGATTAACGTTCGCCAACGTTCGGTAACATTCGCTAACAGTCGTTATTGAACGGTCCGTTGGCGGAAAACGTTTTCGACCAATAGCTAACGGTTTTAGTATGTAGTTAGCGAGTGAAACAAAGATGGCGGATGAGTAAGTTTTGCTTATAATTTTCTTCAAAAAAAATCAAATTTTGTCTTATTTAAGCCAATTTACTAATGAAATTTACTTGCAAATTACGGAAGATGATCGCTTTCACCCATAAACTAAATTGATATGATAAAATACTCGAAAAAACGCGCAATATTTAGCGATCATTGAAAGTTATAAAAACAACAACAACAACGTTATAAAAGAAATCTAGGAAAATGATGTTTTTGAGTGTTGATGTACACGATAGGTTTGATTTTTGGTTGCGAAACAAAATAAAATCACATTTGCTTACTCCTAAAGTATTCTGTTTTATTAATTTCTTACTACTTATCCAAAACAAAAAATAATGTTAGAAAAAATTCACTGGACATGCTTACGATTTTTCTAACGTATTGATACTAGATTTTATTTTATAGTAAATGATGATTCGTTCATTGCAAATGTGTATGATTTTCAAAATTAAATTATATAATGAGAGACTGTTGCTCGCTTGTGTTATTGAATCGGGGTTAGATCGGCCCTATTCCAACTCGGTCCACTTTTCAATATATTGATTAATATTGGTTTGTTTTATAACTCTATTGTTGTAACCACATAATTAATATATTGGCAAACATGGAAAGATGTTTTCTTAAATTATACATACATATAACATTATACATTATAACATGCAAGTAATCAGAAAAAGTTGTCTTGATATGTTTAATATGTTTCTTTTTTTAAAAGTGGGCCGAGTTGACCCGTGCCAAATTGGATAGGGCTGAGTTGAATCTTTAATTTATTAAACATGTTTAAAATCTGTGAAGCAAAATTCTGATAATACTGCTGGCATAGCACGCATATACATGATAAGAGATAAGTAGCATTAAATAATCTTTGCACTCATTTTTTTATACATGTACGTTTGTATTTTCAAGTTAAAACCCTAGCCTTATCGTAATTCATTTTCCTTAATAAAGTCAGAGAAGTATTGCTTATTTTGATAATATGATTATGCTTTCAGAACATTTCTAGTGAAGCTTACAATTGATAATGAAGAAGTGACTGTAAGTGTTACTGCTGATATTGTTGAAGCACTTAATTCAAATGGTAAGTTCTTATTCTTAATTGTTATTCAATAATGACTTTTATAGATAGACATGTCTTTTTGTATAATCTTGAGTCTTTTGTTTTCATATGATATAAAGTATGATTTATGAAATTGTTGTTCTTAAAAGAATTGCTGTTCATATTCATATTAAATGATAGCCTTAAATACTCGTCTCTTGATAGCTTTAAATGGCAAAACTTCGTTTTAAAGAATACTTTTACAATTATATCATAATTATAAATATGTTGCTCTGAGCTTTCTTCCTTGCCAAACTTAAACAATACGTGTAAAGAAGTATCACAGAGATGTTATGTATAAACTTAAGGATTACATTTGAGCACCTCTTTTCCTTATATTCAACATATGCCTACTTCTCCGGATTTGTTATATCTTTGTCTTTCAAAGATTTATCTGCCACTTAGCACAAATCGTTAAGACTTTAAGAGTCATCTTAGTTGTGCTACTCATAATCACTGTCATACAATTTAAATAACAAAGTTAAGACTTTACATTTTACCATAGCCTGACATAAGTGAGAATTGAAACAATATCTATAGATTTTATGAATACAATGAATACAATCCTGGTTTATTTTCCTAGCAACAAGTTAAAAATTACTTGTATGACTGCGAGTCACTTTAAGCACTGATGTAAAACATGTTACGCTTTACTACCACATTTTTAAGATGATTTTTTAATAAAATGATTTTATTTTTTATGTTTATTGCAGATGCTATGGTACGACATCATGCATATGAGCTGGTGGCAAAGGCTGTGCAGAAAGACACAGGTAAACTTTTAAACAGTATCTTACATTCAAGGTCTATTTAAATGTCAAATGTCTGGCAATTTTATTCTTTAAGATCAAAATTAATGTAGTACAATTTTTCTGTTCCAATATAGTCTACACCCGTAAACATAGTTTAGATGTTCACCTTTAAAAATATTGATAAAGATATTATTGATCACTTATATGACAGCTATAATAGAGATTAATAATATTTTTTTCTAACATTAGAAAGTTTGAGATATACCATATTTCCCATATTGTCCATATTGTCTTAGCACTGAACAGAAATGTATCAGTTTAATATATTCATTATTCCCTTTTGCATTCGGGTACAAATAAAGTATCTCAGAATACATATTTTGTATATGTATAAATTTGTAAAATATGTTATAATCACTGAAGAGTGGAAATAAAGAGTATATGAATCAGCACAAATATTTCTGAATGTTTATCATTTATGATTGAGAGTTTAGTAATAATTATTGATTAAACAACTTGAGCATGATTAAAAATGTTACAAGGTAATTTTTCCTTCATGTTGAAATTTTGGTCTCTTTACTAATGTTCAACTTTGTTTTTCAGACTCTGAGAAAACAAGAAACGAGAGGCAGGAAGACCAACTAGCAGAAATACGACATGAGATTCAGCTTAATACTACAGAAGAAAATGACAGTCAACAGACTGATCTCTCCCAGAATACAAATCAAACAGGGAGCAGTCAAGGTCAGTGTTGTTATTAGTGTATATTTATATATGTATACATGTCTCAAAAATGTCTCCAAACAGATAGTCTTCATTAACTTTCTTGTCTGCTTCTATTTCAAAATTAGAATATGGATTTGTCCGTCAGTTATGTTGTCCATCTGTCTGTACACTGACAGGTATCAATATCTCGATTTTATGTATTTATTCTTATATTAACGCACGTAAATCATTTAAGCAAGTAACATTGTTAAATTTGTGGTCACATCAAAACATTTTTTTTGTGTCCCCACAGGGTAGGGAAGGGGCATATGGATATGTCCTTGTCTGTCTCTCTGTAGTTACAAAACCTTGAAATGTGGGGGCATTCATGTGCATACACACAATGCTAATTAAAAAAAAATCTTAAATTTAATACTAGGGACTAAACTCCAACCTGTTTACATTTCAAGGAATCCATTTTTTGCATACTGATTTGTGAATACGCAGATTTCCAGTTATGACATGAATCTTTTACTTGTTTTATGTTTGTAGGTACAATCACATGGAGTCATGAGGCTGTCCTCCTTTTGATAAGTTTGTACTCAGAACATAAAGAGTTGTTCAATAACAACTTGTACAAACAAAAAGATGTTTGGATAAAAATATCTAAGGGTATGGAAGAGAAAGGCCACCACTTTCAGCCTCATCATTGTGACAGTAAATGGCGTGCATTAAAACACAGGTTAGTTGAACTTGATGTATAATATGTATCAGAATGAAATATTAGTACAGTATCAGGAGGGGCGTCCATGGCCGAGTGGTTAAAGGTGTTGGCTTCTTACCACTTGCCCCTCACAGCTCTGGGTGTGAATTCGTTCTTGCGAGAAAGCTATCCAGCTAACTTACAGAGCATTGGTGGTTTTACTTAGGTGTTTGCTTGTTCCAGAACTAATACCCTAAGACGAACCTTAGGTTTTCCTCCACCAGTCAAGCTGGAAAGTTGCCATATGACCTATACTGTGTTGGTGCAACATTAAACTCTACCCACACCACTAAAGTATCAGCTGTCTCAGATGTCAGTCACTCAATAAATATGTGCATGTTTGATTGTTGGTTTCAGCACATTTGTTGTCATTTCCCACAAGTAACATATCTGATTCCGAAATGACAAGGCAGCTCTTTCTTGTAAATGACTGATTACTTATGTCTGATATCAATATCTGTGATTTGTCGCACTCACTGCTATAGAGTAGTTGTCATAGAGACCTTGTGCCATGTCCAAACTCCAACCAAACTGTTCTTATTATTTTATAAAAGTGTCACATTACTTTATATGAAGGAAGTCTGAATGGGGCCATATTTTTATATTATTGAATGCACTATATAGGAAAGCAGAGTTATGGACTTTGTAATTCTTATTTCCAAAAAAATAATTTTTCATTCAGCCTTTAAGTTCATTTTCTTACAGACACAAGGTTATCACAGATGACAATGGGAAAAGTGGACGTGGCCGACGTACCTGGCAGTATTTTGATGCCATGAACGAGGTTCTTGCTGGTGACCCAGCAGTGAGACCACTTAGAGTAATGGGCTCTACAGAAAATGTTCGAGGTTAGCTTTCTATTTTTGACATCTCTTCCCTTGTTACACTTTTGTAGAGATTATATCACATGCATTAATATAAATTGAACTACTTGACATTTAATAAGTGTTCTTAGACTTTATCTAATGACTTGTTGTGTGATGCATTGATTTGGTAAAAGGAAAAAATTTGTACCAATTTATAATTAACATTTGATGATTTGAAGGGGTCTGATGTCAGAGGCATTTGTGCAATATCTATATTTAGGAAATGGTTAACAGTCTTTTATTCTAAGGACACTGGCCCCGAGAACTGGAATTATTTGACTGTCCTAGAAAGAGTGAAAAACAGGCAAATTAATTGAATATTAAACATACATGTATAAAAAATAATGACAGCCCTGAACTTAATGCATATATCTTTTTTGTAGAAACAACAGAGTTGTCGGAGACTAATAATAGAAGTAAGCCTCCACTGCCACCAACTACTTTGAGGATCAGAACCCCTTCACCTTCTCTAAGGCCTTCGTCACCCTCAACTCCGGTTAGAACCCACAGTCCATCACCATCTGACAATGGAGCAACTGGCGGTTCAGAGACTCCGGTATTGAACAGAAAGAGGAAAAGGAGTGGTGAGCCTCCAGAATGGTTCAGAGCCTATGCTGAGCAGGCTAATAGACGGATGGACTCTCTGGAGGAAAGCAATAGGCAAATGATTGCCATTGCACGAGAACGGAACAGCATTCTTAAGACCCTTGCTGAGGCTTTAGCCAAACAGTAGACTTGTTGTGTTCAGATGTGGACTTGTAAATAATATAAAAATTGAACTTTAAAATTGAGTGGACATGCTGTTTGTAGAGAAATGAATGATTGTTTGGAAATTTGCTTTTTTTTTGTGGTAAAAGTTTACTGAAATAAGTGAATGTATCTTTCATATTTTTTATTTGAAATAAAATTTTTTGTTACTGTATATGCTTTTGGCTTTGTGTTCTAAGCACTACACATTGGTGACTGTGACCACATATACACTTCTATAACCTGGCCTACTATTCTTAGGATCCTTTATTGAAACTCATGCATTTTTCTGCTGGTAACATGTTAATTAGGCATGTGTATATAACAATAGCAAAGATAAATATGGCATGAAAGCGCAGTTGGTTAGACCTTTGACTTGTCACTCAGAGGTTCCGGGTTTGATCCTGGGTAACACCCTTGATTGTTCAGAAGCACTCAGTGATTCCCAAGGACCTAGATGTAAACTGGTAAGAAACCCATGTACGAGTGCTATACACTGGGCATATAGAACCAAGAGCTTATTCAATAAGAGCTAAGGACTGGTTCCCGGATTCCTTAGCTGTCTCTGGAATCTGCTTAGGACCCTACTGGAAGTGCTTGCACTTTGTAGGTTATCCTTGACCGCTCCGTGTAAAGAAAATCAATCATGTAGCAAACCTTTGGTAAGCTATAGAATGCTATCCTCTGTTGTGATACGAGGTTATTAGTGTAAGAAATAAGGATTCAAATCGACTCGGCTGGTCGGACTACCAGATTGGAATATTCACTAGCACGATTCATTTGTTCAAAACAGTTGTTTATATTTCCTCTGAAAAAACAGTAGCCTGGTTGGGTTTGATACTGTGAAAAGTAGGTAGCCAGAGGAGAAATTTAGTAGTCTGAGGCTATAGGATTACTGCTTATTTCGAACACTGGGTTATCATAATATATCTAGAAATAACTTATGGCCACTGGACAGACTTTCAATGTACAGTATTACCTTCAAATCGCAACTCCTTTCAATTATGTAGATAAGAATGTATGGTACTTATAAGGTAGGAATGGGAGAAATTACTAGTATTTATATGAGTAATGACAAACAACATCTTGTGATATGTATAACAATTTAATTAAGTTCAGATTTTAAAACACTAACAACCTTTTTAATCTACATTCACACATCAATATGATAATTGTAGAGCCAAAATTAATGCCTCATTATCTTTTGTATACATAAACGGATACATGTGCATTTAGATAATATTCATATTGGTATCAAGCAAAAATCAAGGAATTACAACTATGGTTCCAGTGGGAATAACAATAAAGATCCGAAAAGGTTGTCCAAGAGTCTCTGGTTCGAGTCTAGTCAGGCTGCCATTTTTCTTTTCGACTTCATGAACATTTAAGATTTTAAGTTTTGTAACATACTCCATGCATTACAATTTTTCCTAAAATTTATAGTGTGTACAGAAAAAGTGAAAATAACTCGCAACTCAGACAATCACAGTCCCACTATGGTCATTCAGCACTGTCCTGTGGCAGGTACTAATTGACTAGAGTAGACTAACAGAATATGCTAAGAAATCAGCCTGTCACTAGCATAAGTACTAGCTTTTATAAATTTAATCACAATTATTGAATAATTCATATCATAACTTTCATGTAAGTTGATACAGCAAAGCATCATTTAATAAGAATAACTGCTTAATATATTCAATTTTACTTAGCTAATCATATGCAAATATGCTACACCTTGACAAAAGTTAGACCACACTAAAATGACATTTTCACTTTCAGTAAAGGCACTTTCAATGATATCTATAGGCATTAGAGAAGATTTGCAACATGCTGCCTCTTTTCTTCAGCCTGGCCACTAACATTTTCCGTATTTTCATTTTGATCAATATTGGAGTCCCCACCATTGAACTCGTCAACAGACTCCTCAAAGTCATCACTGTCATTTTCTAATATGTAGTTGTGGAGAACACAGCAAGATGTGATAGTTACTGGAATTTCCTCCACCATAAGCATATCAAGGTATTTCAGCCTTCTGAATTTGCACTTGAGCAGTCCAATGGCTCTTTCAACATCCACTCTAGTGGACGAGTGTACTTTATTGAACTTTTTTTCAACCCTATTTAAATGACCATTGTCTCTAAATGGAACCAACATATTAACTTTCAACGGGTAGGCTGAATCCCCAAGAAGATGCTTATCATGAGGCAGATTAGACACTGTTTCGGATATGGAGCTGTTCCTATACACCCTTGCGTCATGCACAGATCCAGGCCAGCCAGTGTAGGTATCCAGGAACTTAAGTTGGCTGTCGCACACAACTTGCAGTTGCATGCTTGGATACCCCTTCCTGTTAATATAGGATGACCTATGATCAGACGGCCCTGGAATGGCTATATGTGTACCATCAATAGCACCTACAACTCCTGGCATGCCACACTTTTCTCTAAACCCTTTCTCTACCCTTTCCATCTCCTGTCTGGTCCTAGGCATTTTGATGTAACTTTCTCTCATGTCTGAAATCACTCGACAAACTTGCTGAACAATGAGGTGTAACGTGCCTGTAAAATATAAGTTGTCAATAATTAATTCACAAAACCAACATATAATAAACTAAAGTTAATGCAAAATCTTTTGATGAAATTAGTTTCAAGTTGCATTTTCAATTTATAGGTTTCAACAAATGAGACGTGCCACGACAAAACCAACATAATGCGTTTGCGACCAGCATGGATCCAGACCAGCCTGCGCATCCGCGCCGTCCGATCAGGATCCATGCTGTTCGCTTACAAGTAGAGAAACTGATAGCGAACAGTATGGATTCTGATCAGACTGCGCGGATGCCCAGGCTGGTCTGGATCCATGCTGGTCGCAAACGCATTATGTTGGTTTTGTCATGACACGGCTCAAATATCTTTTACATTGGTTAAACTTTACATGCTTGTCCTTTTAATGTTAAATACATCACATCCCAATGTCTACAAAACATTATTTAAAATATCTGTCAATACTTGAGTAAGTAACTTTATATTTTTCAAATGCAAAATAAGTACATATATATACTAAATTAATTGAATGAGTGGAATAAAATTACATTAGGCGAGCCTCTGGTGAATGTTATATTATATTTATCACATATAATCAAAATAAGAACATCAAACTGGCAAAAATAGCCATTTTCCATTGATGCCTCTCTAGTGTAGCTGCTTTATAAGTATGCATATATACATAACGCAAATGAAATCAAGTTCCAAGTGTTATTACACTAGTGTAAGTTAATCTTGTTTCTATTTAATGGCTTTATAACACTCCTGGGCCATGGTTTTTCTGATAAATCAATTCATGTTTACAAACTTATTTAGTTAATTGCTGTAATCACTTTTACAGTAAAACATAGGCACTAACTTTGGAATTATTTAACAGTGAAACTACATATTTGGAAATTTCACAATGAAATTATCAAAATTTAGTTTCAGCTTATCCAGACTGCCAGTTTAAAAAGGGCATTAAATACATATAGATATTTCATGTATAGAATTACCTTTACTCATACCAAATCTGTCTCCCACACTTCTGTAACATTCTTGTGTACCTAGTAACCACAAGGTGGCTAACATCTTTGTTTCCAGGTTAATTGAACGCTCTCTAGGAAACTCGGGAGCAACTTCTGTGCATAACATCTGAAGAGCAAATTTAAATATGTTTAAACTTTAATATGAATGGCTTTTGATAAACAAAACAAAGTAAACAGTAACACCAATGTATATCAATTATTAAAAGTGGGGGCGTCTGTGGCCGAGTGGTTAAGGTCATTGACTTCAAGCCATTTGCCCCTCATCACTGTAGGTTCGAATCCTGACAGGGACTGTGGATTCATGTGAGGAAGCTATCCAGCTAGCTTATGGAACATCGGTGGTTCTTCTCATGTGCCTGTTCGTGCCTGTAAAATGCACGAAAGGGCACCTGAAGTCTTCCTCCATCAGTAAAGCTGGAAAGTTGCAGTATGATCTATACTATGTCGGTGCTACATAAAACCCAATCAAACAAACAAGCAAACTTAGTAAAAGAAAAATTGGTTCAAATATTTTCAACAATGATTCTATCAGTTACAGAGGAAGACAATTTACTTTAATGAACTTTTACTTTACTTCGGAAAGTATCAAGAGTATTTGGTAACAAGATACCAAATAATTCCCAACATAACAGTTAGAGGTATTTCAAAAATACTATGACACTCATCCATTTATTTCTGTTTAATGTCAGTTGCTTGTATTGTAAATGTCATTGTGTAACAAATTTGCTTTCGGTGGTTACCTCAAATGTTGATCTCTGCATTCTAAAATGGGATTTGAACTCTAAATCAGAGTATATTGAAACAACCTCAGGCACATAACCTTCAACACGTACTGGATCACTATTGCTGGACACAACCAATGAAACAGCATCTGCAAGTTATAAAAAATCTAAAATAAGAGACAAAATAATATCAAGAAAACACAGTTTTCTCCATTCTCTGTTATCCATAGACTAGTATATATACATATATGCATTAAGAAAACAAATTAGACATATCGATGTATACATCAATTGACAGTTTCAAAACTAGCAGACGACAGGCTTTTCAGATACTTATCAGTAATTATGCAAGCTGTGTATCTCTCTGTATAGATCATGTTAAATGGCGTGACATGTGGTAGGTTAAACAATTAATTTTAATACTTTTGGTGTCTAAAGAGATGTTGAATTACATACTGAGATAAAACAAAGATCACAAGCTTTTCATTGGTGTAATAAACATTAAAATTGGACAATAAATCACAATTAACTTGCGTTTAAATATGGTAAAATTTGCATCTTTTAGCATTACAAATTACGATTTTACACGAAGAAAAGGGAGACAGCTCGTGTTTTTACACTCATTTTACCTTGGCTATTTAAACAGTTTATATAGAAACAGTGATTAGGTGTATTGATGTATATTGTACATTGACACCAACATGTCCTATAATTTCAAAACATGACCATGATACCATAGAACTTTGGCTACAAATTGCCAAATGATTTTATTCACAATTGAAATATTTGACCACCAAAACAGTCCGCTAAAAATAGGCAAAGCCTGAGCCCATGTCTATTAAAATACTGTTTTGTCTTGCATAAAATGTAGGGAGCATAGTCCGACAGTCTACTTACACTTACAATGTTTTGAGATCCGAAAAAAACAACATATGCAATGACTGAGGGAAACGTTGATTTTTTTCATGGCATCAAAATTTTCCGAATTAATTAGACTAATATGGATAAAATGATAGTTTTTTATCTCAACGCCACAGTTTTTTTACCTCAACGCCACTATAAACAAATTACATATGTCCATTATCACTATGGGAAATCTAAAAGTTTGACGAGACTTCCCGGACAGTTAAAAAGTCTTGAACCGGCGTTGTAATTCGGGTGAAAAGATGTGTTTTTAACAGCAAATAAACAACAATAACATGAAATTTGAATATACATACTTAGAGAACCATTCATGACATCCATTGCCAATGTTTGATTAGAATTAAATTGCGTAAATAAGTCATCTTCCGCCAATTCTTCTAACAAAATCGCTGATATTATTCTCCTGTCCGCCATCTTTAAACGTTTGCGCCAAAACGGTTCGTTCGATTAACCGTTTCGTAACAGTAACGGTGATTGGCTAACGTAAAATGGGTACTGAACGCACTGCTGGTCCTTGCGGCCAAGGTCAAGGTCACACATAGAGGTCAAAGTTCAGATAAAAATATGAAGATGTGTATATGGACCATTTAGTCATCATTTATTGAGGGATTGTAACACAAATGGTCATTATCAAGACTATGGCTGTGATACATATAATTAAGGTCAATATATACAAGGGCAAGATCACTAAAGATGATGAAATATCCAGATTTTGTCCGGAGCATATCTCCTACATGTATGGAGGAATTTAAGTGAAACTTCATAGAAATGTTCACCATTATGAGGAGCAGTGTTGCGCACATGAACCAGGTCTCTGGGTCAAAGGTCAAGGTCACACTTAGAGCTCATTGAAAAATGCTTGTCCGGAGCAAAACTTCCACATGCATAGAGGGATTTCAATATAATTTGGCACAAATGTTCACCATTGTGAGGCAGAGTGTCGCACGCAAAATTCAGGTCCCTGCAGCCAAGGTCAAGGCCACACATAGAGGTCAAAGTTTAGATAAAAATATGAAGATGTGTATAGGGACGATTTAATCATCATTTATTGAGGGATTGTAACACAAATGGTCATTATCATGACTACGGCTATGACACATGTACTTTAGGTCAATATATGCAAGGTCAAGGTCACTAAAGATGGTGAAATAACCAGATTTTGTCTGGAACATATCTCCTACATGTATGGAAGAATTTTTATAATACTTTTTGGAAATGTTCACCACCATGATATGTATTGCTCCATGCATGATCCAGGTCTCCAGGTCAAAGGTCAAGGTCACACAAAAATGCTTGTCCGGAGCAAAACTTCTACATTCATAGGGGGATTTCAATATAACTTGTCACAAATGTTCACCATTGTGAGGCTGAGTGTCGCACGCAAAATTCAGATCCCTGCGACCAAAGTCAAGGTTACACATAGAGGTCAAAGTTCAGATAAAAATTTGAAGATGTGTATAGGGACCATTTAGTCATCATTTATTGATGGATTGTAGCACAAATGGTAACTATCATAACTACAGGTGTGACACATTTAATTTAGGTTAATATTTGCAAGGTCAAGTCACTGGAGATGATGAAATATCCAGATGTTGTCCGGAGCATATTTTCTACATGCATGGAGGAATTTTAATGTTACTTTATAGAATTGTTCACCACCATAAGACGTAGTGCCCTGCACATGAACCAAGTCTCTAGGTCATAGGTGAAGGTCACAGTTAGAGCTCATAGAAAAACGCTTGTCTGGAGCAAAACTTCTACATGCATAGAGGGATTTCAATATAATTTGGCACAAATGTTCATCATTGTGAGGCTGAGTGCCGTGCATAAAATTCAGGTCCCGACGACCAAGGTCAAGGTCACACATCCTGTGCATATCTTCCCTACTGATTTGTTTTAAGGTTCATTTAACAACACAGTGCCAAGGATAAAAACTTGCTTGCTAGATAACACTTATCCATAATGCCCCCATCTCCATCTAAAGCTTTCGTAAACGGGCGTATTTTGTGACCCTTGTTTGATATATATGATCAGTACCTGTGCTGGGTATTGACAAATACAATGTTTACATTTTATTTGGATTTTAAAGGCGTTTTGAGCTTCACACCCACGTGTCTGTGGTTGAGTGACGTTTGATGAATGTTGAACTTTAAATATTGCTATAAGTTATGTTATATCATTTAGAATTGTTTTAAGATTCTTTGATGCTAATGTTTTGGTTGAATATAAATGAGACTTTCAGTGTTAAAAGTGATTTTAATTTCATTTGTTCTTGATAAATTATATTAGTATTTTATTAAATGATTTAGATCTACTTTTTGTCTTACAACAAGCAAATTGTATGGACTATTCCAGGGTCTTTCAAATAGAATCTATATTCTGGTTCTATTTGAAAGACCCTGACTATACGAAATCGATAGATAGCTGTTATACTCACCCATGGCGTCGGTGTCTGCGTTTGTGTCCAGATTTCAGATTATTTCGTGCAGTAAAATACTTTCACTGAAACTTAAAGTGACTATAAATATTTAGAAGCTCAAATGTCCACTTCAGTTTAAAATCTGTCTCTTATTTGGCCAATTCGGAACTAAACGAAACTCAAAATGAATACAACCTCCTTGACTTGAAAATCCTTTTTTGCGGCTAAAGACTAATAAAGCGAGAACATACAGTGTTTGGTTTTTTGGAATGGAAATAACAAGTACCGATTAATCTAACTTGCTAAATGTAACTGATCAGCATCTACATATAAACATAAGTACTCTTACTTAACAGATACCGATGTAGTTGAGTTTCTCGACCTGTTACCACAAGAAATCAATCTCATAACATTTCAGTAGATCTTTAATATGGCAGTGACACAGAGTACGACTTTTACTTTTTTGAAATCGCGCCAATTTCCTGCAGAAATGCTTTGCTTGCCTTGCAGTACGAATAATAGAACTAATGTATTAAAAATCTCGTCCAACAGAACAATCTATCAGGCTATTGTGAAATAAGAAAATCAAAGAAACAACGCTACTGTCAAAGCAATCCAGCATTTGGTAAAAACAACGAATTAAAAAGAGGTCCTATAAGGCCTGAACCCGTTGCCATGAGGTCGCCGGCTTCAAATCACTTACTTCTCCACGTTGTAGATTTATATCCCGTCAGATACGTATTTTGGTTTTTTTTCATGTACGGAAGCTATCCAGCAGGTCAGTGGTTCTACTCAGCTGCCAGCTCTTGCCTAAAATATTGCAGAAAGGGATACCTGAAGTCTTCTTTCATCAGTAAAGCTAGAAGGTCGCCATATTACCGCACATTGTCGGTACAAATTCAATATAAACACATCATGGTCAACGCCGTCCGGTTAGCTCAATAGGTAGAGCGTTGGACTGAATCGGGCGATCTGGGTTCAATTCCTTGACGGCGCAGGTCACTTTCGTTGTGATTGATAATGAAAACTTTCTACGGTTATTGGCACTATACCGTACAAATATAATCAGTTCCTTGCGAAAGTGAAGGCAACTAGTACTGGTAAACTGCTTGAAGGCCTGCCCAGGAACGATGCGGTAGCTAAACTGTGCCACTTCTACCACCAAATCAAGGTCATACATCTAAATGCTTTAGCAAAGTAGCATAACAGATCATATACTAGGATATAAAGTAAAGTCATTGTACTTTTAGCAGGCAATAATAAAGTTTAGGTGTTCCCGTATAGCTCTGCTGACGGAGCAATATAGACGTGCCATTTCTCATTTAGTGTATATATCAATATCCGGTTCAAGTGTTCAGTTGGCAGATTTATCAAGCAAAGTAGTACAAAATAAAGACTGAATTCAAAGTTCTGCTTGATTGCTCTGTTATTCCTATAAGTTTGTTTAAAAGCTCTGTTTTGAGAACAATTATACTAAAACGAAAATAGTTGGCACCGTATGTTTCGCTTCAAATGTTTCTGTCAACAAGCAAAAAATATAGTGTTAAATTAATCTTAAAATTATGCTTTTCAATTTGCAAGAATAGGCATTTGGCAGCAAGTAAGTTTATGTTGTTTACATGAAATATGGATTTTACATATGTTCCCAAAATAGATTATAAATTATATAAGAGAACATATGTTATCTTGCTATGTTTTTTCTTCTGTTTTAGCGTTGTTGTTTATTTGATTCTGTAAATGTGCAGTTAATTATCATAATTACTAAATGTTGCAAATGATTTCTAAAGTGATTCATGCTGAACATAGTAGTTTCAGCTTTTTAGCCAAACAAAGCACTTAATTAATACCGAAGTATATGAGTTGATTACTTTTGTCCAGTTTAGTTAGATGGTGCATTTTCAACACCACACAATTTTGTTTTAATGTTAAACGACAGCGCTGTCAGCGGAGAGTGACGACATATTGCGTCAAAATCGAAACAACGATATCAAACACTGTTCACGTTCTTCAAACAGGATCTACAAATCACATACACATATAACATGTGATTTATAATATTTGTGTTACAGAAATACTATAAAATGTAGAAAATGTTTGGTCAGTGGTCAGTATCTTAATATTATATAAGAAATATAGTAAAAGTACTCTCGCAACATTGGTACTTAAGTTGGCCTTCAATATACGTTTTTCTTCCTTTTAACTTTAAATAATGATAAATATAATATATAGATAGATTTTAAAGCTAGATAGTTATAAAATATATGTGCGATTCCAATTGATATATAATGAATATAAATATTTAATGATAATGCTCAAATCTTGAAATATGATTGGCTGAAATAGGTTATAAAATACAAGTATATTCAAATAAAGCACATCTCTAGTATATGTGAACGTGGTTATGCTATAAACTATAATGAGGTAGATTATAAGCTCACAAACTCGTTCACTATAAACTATAAAGAGCTAGATTAGATCTGTAAGCTCACATTTTTTTTGTTTTCTATTGGAAGTGTACATGTTTATCAATCTAAATACCTTTGGCATTAATATAAGATTCCAGTGAGTTACAACTACATTGTACATGAAGTTATTATAAGTTTGGTGAAATGTCTTCCTGGTAACTTCGACAATAATAAAGCGGAAAAAGTTGATGGAAAATGTGAATTTCAAATTTACAAAGCACGCATTATCATTTATCACTTAGGATATCATTGGGTACAAAGATCATATTAACACCGACAATATACTTGTATTATATAGATCAATATTCATATCCAGTAAATAGTTTTACATATACGTGCATTCTGAAACATTGATAATATGTCGTACATGATAAAAGCAGTATGCAACCTGATTATTTTAAATAAAGTTGTCCACCTTTACAATCAAAATTTTCGGAGAAAATTATGAACTGATTAAACAGCGAACAGTTCAAATCATGATGAGACGGCACGGATCAAGTGGCAGCCGGAACATCTCGAATATTATCAATAATAATAGTCCTTATCCGAAGACTGGCGGAAAGGGTCGAATCAAGTGGATGCAATAAAGGTGGTTACTAACTAGTTGCACTACACTTCAATGTCGTATTATCTATGTATGAAAGCAGTCATTCTATTTCGCACACTTTTGCAAACTGTAACCAAAGCAACGTCGGAACACACCATCAAAGATGCGGTCAATAATCTATATTGAAGATTTTGGAATCTTCACAGATTTTTCATAGAACGGATTATATCTTCCAGCATTTCTCGCATTCAACAACATGTCATAAGGGTAAGGTTTGTTGTTGGCACTTGCTGTGTCCAGTGCTTCCATCTAAATAATAAAATTGATCTAATTAGTCAAAACTCTAACATAACTACATTTGTAACCTTAAATGTAAAAATACGTAAATACACGTCCGTAACTACAGAATTATAAAAGAAAGGAAAAACAACAACAACAACATTATATATCATTCAAAACGTTAACGATTGTACTGTCAGGAAAATAAGAGAAGACATATCTGGTCAATGGAAAAAAGTGAAAACTGGCCAATGGAAAGAAGAGAAAACATATCTGGTCAATGGAAAGAAGAGAAGACATATGTCTGGTCAATGGAAAGAAGAGAAAACATATCTGGTCAATGAAAAAGAGAAGACATCTCTGGTCAATGGAAAAAAAAGAGAAGACATGTTAGGTTAATAAAAAAGAGAAGACATGTTTGGTCAATAAAAATAGGAGAAGACATGTCTGGTCAATGAAAAAAAAAGAGAAGATATATCTGGTAAATGGTAAAAAGAGAAAACATGTTTAGTGAATGGAAAAAGAGAAAACATGGCTGTTCAATGGAAAAAATGAAAACATGTCTGGCTAATGGAAAAAAGATCAAACATTTCTGGTCAATGGAATAAGAGAAGTAATATATGCCTCAACTATAATAATAATAAAATAATAAAGTTACTGCATTTCTACGTAATTATATTAAAAAAATATTGAACAGATATATTTAATTTTGATCAATTTTATGAAAGGAGATTGCTCTTGTAGATCTTCAAGTGCCAAACATTTACTTCAATATGTAAGCTCTTATTTGCAGACTTTTCGTGGTATTACTGAAACTAACATACAGCATAGGTTTACAGTAAGATTGATATGCATCTTATTTCAGATTCGCGGACTCCGCTCATAAAAAGGTTACATTTTGAAAAACAAAAACAACAAAAAGTTTACTTCTAGATTATATACATGTATATTATTTTGAGTGTTTATTAATTGATATTATACACACCTGTTCATCACTTAGTTTCCATTGAGCACTACCAACGGCCATGTTTTCTTCCAGCTGTTTTAATGACGTTGCTCCAATGATAACGGAGGCTACACAACCCTTTTGTAGAACCCATTTCAGAGCCACTTGTGCTACGGTCTTGTCTATTTATTTCGTATAATTGTTTTATTTAATTAGAAATACAATATATTTGTAGAATTATGCTGGGTATTCGCCTGCATTTTCATGCTTTGTCTACTGTATATTGCTTAGCTTTGTTTAGTGTCTACAGTCTTATCTTAGGTCGGCTCACTTTCAAATTAATTTACGCGACCCCGCAATAGAAACCCATACATTTTGAATAACATCTATTTTATTCTAACAATACCCTAACCCCCACCCCCCCGTTCACACATAGACCCCGTATCTACCACGATCAAAGCGTGGCCGAAAACGTGGCAAATCACAGGAGAAAATATAAGCGCAGTATGATCGCGGTAGCGTCGTAATGATTGGAAAACTCTACGCTCTCGCCACGTTTATTTTGAACATGCTCAAAAAAAGCGTAGCGGGATCGTGGCCAACAAGAATAGGGATAAAGTAAAAAGAGCGTGGAAGAAACGCCGTAATCGTACAAGCAGCTCGGAAGCATCGTTGATAGTTCTTCATGATCGTAGTAAAAGCGCAGTAAAAGCGTAATACAGTCGGGAACATACCGAGTACGCTTCTACAACGTTCCTACTTTATTCTTACTACGTTCCCATTACGATCTCTCTACGTTCATGGTGATCCTACGAAGACCTACCATGACCTTACGACGATCATACCACGACCTGTCAGGTAGCAGTTTTTTATTTGTTTGGGTCGTCAGACCAAACAAATAATGGTAGCGAAATTTCAGAGTCTAATGTTCTTAATTGCAAATGCCGAAAGTAGTCCACTTTTTGAAGCGGTTACTTCCCTTTTGTATGTACACTAAAGCCGAAAAATTCAGGGGAGATCACTGCGTAAAGATGGTCAAAGACAGGCGCATCAATTTTCAAGCAAAGTAATTCCCGAATGGTCGAAGATTTCTAATATTGTTTTCTGGTATTTTCTGATCGAAAATAACTAAATACAAAGCGGACATTCAATCTCTGACACAGAAGTTTATGACAAACCTAACAACAAGTAGTTCTCAAAACAGCTTAAAACTAGCGATTTAAAAGAAAGAAATATTTTATTTTGTTACAAGTATCCAACAAATTACAACGCATTTAAAGTTAAACAATAGCGTTGGCTTATAGAATTGTTAATAAATGCACAATCACAAATTACGCGGATGAATATGATTTTATCAATGAAAATACTATTTTTAGCCATGTAGATTACCGAATACTACACAAACCGAGTAGTGGAATATATAGATTCTACATGTCGGACTGTTTGGGCGAGAGGATTTTCGCTAAAATATTTACTTCAATTTTAAACAACAGGTTTACCCTGAACAAAATACCTCGAAATTAATAAGGATTACAAACCTGAATGCAATGGAAGTTCTAAATTTAGAATGACTTGATATTATTCAGACAGGCTGTGTACAACTTCTCCGTGGTACAGTGGTAACGCGCTCGCTTAGTGAGTGAGAGGTCTCGAGTTCGAATCCCAGTCGAGGAATTTTTTTTTTTGTTAAATTCTTTTTTTAATTGTTTTTGTTAAGGAAGTAGCCATGATTTACAAGGATAAAGTGTGGCTGTCGTAAAAAAAGTACATAAATGATTTTTTGATGCAACTCTAGTTATGCAGAATGTGCCTTACAAAATGAATTATAATACATAAAAATAAACTTATACAGGAAAAAGCATACAGATATACAGTACGATTTAGATTGCAAAGATCAGAAAATACCAAAGAACTTGAAGCCCTTTGATTCTTTATAAATATACATGCTTATAGTAAGCTTCAGGATTATTTACATCTGTGTTAAACAACAGTTAAAAGTCGTTACAAGCCCTAATTTAGAATAATATGGTTTTCTTCAGGCCGTTCACATATAAATTTAACCGTGGCTGAAGGGTTTTCGGGCTCGCTTAGGAAGCGAGAGGTCTGGAGTTCAAATCCCAGTAAAGGTAACTCATTTTTTTTAAATTGTTAAAGTCAAATAAACATTGGATTGAATATCAGTGTTGCAATTAGTCTTATAGCCAATTTACTACAATTAAAACGCTGGAAAGCATTGGTGGCACTAAACATATAATCTCACAACCTGCACCTTTCTTACATTCTGAGACCCAAACAAATTCAGCGCCTTCTGTGCTTTGATTTTTTATAGCGCTGCTATTTGACCAATCATAATCTGCCAACTACATAATTATATTGGGCGGCAGGTTACTTGACGATCATTTGCAGCTGAGATGTCGAACATAGCACATCTGCAACAGTTTGAAAATAAAATAAAACGCACCGTAAACCACGTGGTAAAGGCCATGAAAAAAAACTGTGGTTGCAAACTCAGAGACTCAAGCACATGAAAATCCTGCAGCAGAAAATCTCGAGGCCGGGAAAGAACATGACGGGCCTTCGTCTGTGGAAGCTGAAGCCCTTCCATTCACGGAAATTCCGTTGCTTGATGACCCCACTATTGAGCCTCAATCCGATGTAGAATAAGTTCCAGCAGAAATGCAGGGAAATGCTGACAGACCTTACCGAGAACTAAGAACAGAGAATGGTTGAATGGCTTGGCGCTCATCCAATCCTTTACAACAAAAAGCAAAAAGGGGTATAACGAAACCCAGAAGAAGGAATATCTCTGGAGGGAACATGCCAATCTGCTTGGTAAAGATGTTGACGTCATAAAAACCTGGTACAGTAGCATTTGGACAAGGTACATGTATGGGCGGCTAAAGAAAACGCGATCCGGTGCTCCAGATGATGAACTTACAGAAAGGGACAGTTGGATCCTGCGTGAGTTTGGTTTCCTGCAGCCCCATATCATTGAAGTCAAAAAGCGCACCGCTTTTAGTGTAAGTAGATAACCATACATTCATTATAGGGTTGAAATTATGTCATATGTTTGAGTGTTGATGCCTTTGGAAAAACTATTTGCCAAGCGAAAACTGACTGGAATCCAAACAGCCGCCAATTGATAATGATTCAAGTTACATATTCAGATGGCGTAATGGTTTTAATGGTAGCCAGTACAAACGCACAATGTTGTTTTCTATGTAAATATTCAATGCACATAAAAATGTTGATAATGTATTAATAACGGCGAAGTTGGCCCCAACAAGCCCTGTAGAGACTATGACATTAGACTCTGGTGATGCCCCAGCTGATACCGCAGGTACAGGCGCTCTCTCCTTTGGCGACGCCCTCGAGGATTCCGCTACAACCGTATCCACTTCCACAAGTGTATCCTCAACATCCGCGTATTCAAGGGCCTCCCGAACACAAAACCGGTCCTCCGATGATGCAATCTTGGCAGATCTGGCAGGTAGTAGGGAACAGCTCATTTACTTGCAGCGAGAGTTGCTTATTCGCATCAAGAATTCACAAGAACCGAATGAGCGTGATGCCTTCATGGACTGTGTTAAGCAATCTTTGGCGCCGCATCCAGACTGACGTACAACAATTGGTTAGCCACTACACTGACATGCAGGAGCAGCAGCAAAAAACAGGTACAGTCTAGACCTGACCTTTCCTTAAACAAGGATAGTGACCCCTGTTCCATGCAATGGCAGCCTAATCCCACACAATGGCCATCCCAAGTCGTCAATACAACGTCTGTGTAGGGAACGTGCTTGGTGCATCAGCAACAATTTCAGCAGTCAGACAAGCAAGCGTGTAGACAGTCACAAGAGGGATCAAATATCGTGTTTGCAGGCCTTAGCTCACTATTAGATACAGATGACGGAACACATGGACTCCGGCAGCAGTAAACGCTAAATAATACGATACATGCAGTTCTAGCGATATTGTTTTTCTTTGCAGCAGTCAAACTTCCTATTGTCATTTGGAAGTATTGTCAGACATGCACTTAATTGACAATAGTAGCTCATTTTGTTTCTAAAATCAAATCAGTTAGATTATTGATGCATGCTGTTTGTATGGACAATTGTGCACATAAACTTTAGTTCAAAATTTGCATTTATAAAGTTAATACTGTCTGTCTGCGTGCGTGTGTGCGTGCGTATGTACTAGTATGTATGTGTGCATGTTTTAAGAATGAGTCTTAGTTCTTGTAATAAAAAATCTTTATGTTTATAAAAAAACGACTTATGGTACCATCAGCTTTTGTGGTCAAAGAGGTTATGATGCATTAAACCGGTAAAAACCTATACATGTACTTGCAATGCGCCTATGTCCAATGCAGGAGTCCGTTACAAGAACTGTTTTACTTAATGACTCACGCATGGAGTTTTACTCCTAATATGGTAAAAATAACATAATTCAAAAATATAATTTTAATGCTCTATGTTTTAGACTCTGTCACTATACAACAGTATATACTTTTGACAAAAGCTGTCAAGATTCCCTCTTATGTAGATTACATTGCATAAAACACCTTAATTCCTTCTGCAAAAAACATACATACTAAACCTGACTATAATTAAAAAATAACTGCAGAGTCATTTGCACAATCAGAACTTAATTCAAAATCGCAGCGGTAAAACATTCATATGCAAAACAATCCCTACACAAAAACTATCTGAACTCCAAACAGTAATTGTAAAACATTATTTCATTTGTTATTACTTGTTTAGACCGCACATATAATGCTTAAAATGTACAACATTGTACATAATAATACAGATTAGTGGGGAATCATTCTTTCCTGCCATGGTACCGATCCTACCTGGCTGTTAAAATACAGTTTAAGTTGTTCCCTCTGTCTTTTACCAACGATGTTGTCCCTGTTTCGTCCTCTTGACAGCTGTAGTGCATGTCCAGATAGTGATCATCATTCTCTTGGTCAAGTTGGACATTTTGTATCGCCGGGTAGCGCAATCTCATGAGGTTTTGAAGGCACATACAACACTATGATGTCGTGTATCACTGCTTGGAATTGCTGCATAGTGGTGAGAAAGTAATACCTGCCATCTATGTGCCAAAATACCAAAAGCATTTTCAATCACACGGCGATTCCTTGATATTCTGTAGATTGTGATTAAGTGCTCTCTGGTGAGACCTCTTTGCCAATAAGGTTTCATCAAATATGTCCTCAACCCAAATGCATCATCTCCAAGAATGAAGTAGGGTATCGGCTCGTTGTCACAAGAAAGTGTGTCTTGCGCTGGAAACCGAATCGATCTGTCTTCGAGGCACTGTTTCAGCTCAGATTCGTTAAAAATTTGCATCAGACATAGAACCAGTCGATTCACAGAAATTTGTAGTCCGCGCCTGCCAGTGCTAGTAGCACAACGAAAAAGAAGTGCTTGTAATTGTGGTAAAGCGAGCCACTGTTTGGGGGTAATCTGATGGCCACATGTTTGCCATCTAGTGCACTGCATGCATGTGCAACATTTCATTTGTTCTTGAACTGGTCTGCTAAGAGAGACCATTAATCAGGACTTGTTGGACACTTTCTCACTTCATCTTTAAATTCCTCACAAATGGCCTGGCAAATCTCAGGTAAGAGACACGCTATCGTATTCTTAGCAACTCTGAAGTTATACATGGGACTAGGGTACTTATCTCCTGAAGTAAGATGTCTGATATTTATTGCGAGCTTGATGCCTGGTTCTAACGCTTTTCTCCAGCCTGCATCTTTCTTCTGAATCCTAGGGCCAACTCTCTCGAGCCATCAAACATCGCTGGTTCCATCCTCAAAAAGTTGAAGAAGGAAGTGGTGTATCCCATTCGGAGTTCTCTCATCGGTGTATCATATTGTCCAAACTGGAGCCTCCTATCTGCAGATAGCCATGGGCATACCCAGTGTCTTCTTGATCTCCTGCGCCTCCGCCTGTTAACAATCTGTGCAATTTTAATTTCAACTTCATGCTGAAGTAAAGCCAGATGATTTTGATCAGCATTAATACATTAAGTAAATGAAAAATAATTTTTGAAACCCAAGATATATATATCATCGCCAAAATCGTACCAGAAGCGTACTACAAGCGTGATATGATCGGCACTGTCATAGCAATATCGTCGTACAGTGTAGCATCGTAGTGCCAGCTTGAATGTGATAGCTTCAGCGTAACATAAACGCAGTAAACGCGGTTGTAGCACAGTCGTAATGAAGACCATCATTTGCCAATACGTTTTCAGATTGTGACTTGATCAGCATTATCGTCCTAAAGTCGCAGCTCTGTGTGAACAGGGTGTAAAATTCCTCGATAATAAGCATGCCTCGAAAATAAGCATGTCTCGATAACAAGCCAACATTTTCTCACAGTCAAAATGAACTTAAAAGTTAGCCGGCCTGAACTCTTAACAAGTTAAGGTTATTTATTAACTATTAAGGTAACAGTAGTTTATGCAATATACAGATTTAAATACGAGGACTGTCCAAATAAGTTATGGACAAAATACAAATACTTATAACGGTTTTTTGAAAGAATTTTACTGCATGATATCTAATGAGCCATTGCTGTATGAACTTGCAAAATTCAGCAAGATTATATTTAATCACACAGAATAAATCGTACCAGTAGATGGTAATATAATGCAACCCAAACGTTTAAATTACGTTATATGACGTCATATCAATATTTCCCATTTTTAATGTTTTAACTCTGTGTATGCCATCTACTTCTACGAGATATATACACAAATTGTCTTTATAGTGACTTTCTACACTCCTCATATGTAAAATTTAGAATTCCACAATATTGAATGGGTCAAATTTTTCAGGATACATAATTATGACAGAAATACCATTACATTTAACATAATTATGCTTAAAATTCTTAATATTTTACTTTACTCAAGGTTCATATGAATAGTAATAAAATGTAATAAAGGAAGATAAAATGTGTTTATATTCTAAATGCATGTATCATTAACTTGTATAGAGTTGTAAACATTTCGAGGTATTTATTCAGTTTTCGTTATCAAACTTCTAAATCTTTCATAATTCAATGTATCGTTTTCAAAGACACTTAAAATTGTGTGACACATAATTATAATTAAAACAATGTTTGTAAAATTTACCATTTTCATTGGATATTTGTTTCAGGACATCGATGATTTGCCAGTATTGATCATCGTCGGAAAATTGCGACCACGCCCCTAATTGACCAAATGCTTTTTGTGCCAGCATGTATCCGACCCTGCTTGTGCTAGCATCGGGCACACCTCCTCTTTTAAATTTTCCAGTCAACAATCCTCTAAAATAGAACATATGGCATAAACAACTTATATCTGCATGTACATCTACAGCTCGCCCGGTCTTACCCGAACAACATAATTTAACATCTTAAAGGAACCCCAACATTTAAAATAGCATTCTAATTGTTCTTATAATAAATTGACAGTTATACATATTTATATGTATTCGATTTTAGAAGAATTCTTTGAAGTATAGAAAACTTCCTAAATGTAACGTTTAAGTATATAGCATAATTGAAAGAGGAAAGTGCACAATTCTTTTTGACATGTGAAATTCAGAATTAGTTTTACATTTTCACATAATTCTTTTAAATTTTATAATTTACTTCGTATGAACAATAAATAGCTTACATGGTCAAGGAAATTTCTATAAATATTCATCGAAATTTGTATCTATATATCCAGTAGCTACGAATGATCTTGAAAAATTCACATTTTTTCATGGCGTTTGAAAATAGTCCCCTCTTTAAAAATTGATAAACATGAACTTTATTGGTAAATTTTTACATTTTTAAACTGCGTTCTCGTATGGCCATAGTTTAGACAAAAATCTGTGTTACTACTGAAACTTTGCGTGATTTTTCATAACATTACGGGCTCTACTGAGGTGGCAAACACTACGGTATTTAAATAATTAAAAGGGGTACCCTGTCAGAGGACTCCATGACAGAACTGCAATACCTTCGTTCTGGCACACTATGAATGGTTCCCACTCGGATGCTCTATGTAACAGACTGTACTGTTGCTACATGATTTTGAAACAAACAAAAAACGAACATGTTATATACTTGTAAGCGAACGATGACTGCAAGTCATTGCAAATGTTACTTATATCATTCAATAAAAATTTTATGCCGACATGAACACAGCTCCTTGTATTTTGGAATACCACACATTACAAAAATTGTTGACTTGGTATGAATTATAGCATATCTCAACTTTAAAATGTCATCCGCAAATGTCTTTATTAAATTACTGGGAAAAACATAGCTAATCATTTGTTATAAAGGTACGTTTTACTAAAAATGTTAACAAAGTAGTATTTTGGCTTACATACAAAATACTAAATCACTCAATTATACCAATTGCCAACAAAGCAATAAATGCAAAGATAGTTTGTTAGAAATCAATATATAATCCATATGCCATTGATTTGTAAGTATATCGGGAGAATTTTATTCAGGGTAAAACATAATGAAACAAGGTATGCCATTGAATGTAAACCTGTAATGTGACACATGGCTGAAGCCCCAGAGTTTTGTATGTGTTCACAACTTGTTGCAACTGCCACCCACAAAGGTTGCTGTAACCATAGTAATGAATTTTACCACAGCGGACAAGGTCATCAAACGTGCGCAATGTTTCTTCAACAGATGTGGCATTATCCCAACCGTGACCCTGACAAAACATGAATACAAAAAATACAAGAAAACCATTTAATGTGCAAAGCATCTTAGGGCACCTGAAATTACCGCTGCACAAAGGTGTGAGGCAATATTCCGCAAATTTTAACACGCGATTGTTTCTTCGGTATACACGTTGAACACGACAGCAGTTGTTTAATGATTTTGATTTTTTTCAGTCGATAGAAAATGTTCGTAAAAAACTAACCATATTTAAATACATTACACTACTGATACATGAACATTATAGTAATAACAAGAAAAGCATTGATGCAAAGCATCAAAGGGCGACGCCAAAAGAATTTGATCCAGATTTGCACCTAAATACTTAACAAAAGATGTGAACTTTATAGCAGTACCATTACATGTGACCTGGAGGCAAGGGCCAGTTTAAGTTGAAACTTAAACCAAAAAAGAATAGACTCTGTCTTGCCAAGATGCAAAGACAATTTATAGTCAATTAAGCAATCTTGTAAGACTCATGCTATAAGAAAGAATTTATTCAGATTTATTTTACGAGACACAAGGATTCCTGAGTCATCAGCATATAATCACAGGCACGAGTATCGGACCTGGGAAGAAAAAATATGACCAGATGACCAGATTGGTAAAAAAACAAACAAAAAATGTAAATAATGATCCCCTTTAGAAATATACTATCAACTTGAAGTATATTTTTAAAGGGGGTCATTATTTACATTTTATTTTGGTTGTTGACACTTTTAAGATGAACACAGGTTTTTTTTATCAATCTGGCCATATTTTTTCTTCCCAGGTCTGATACTCGTCCCTGTGCATTATAATAAAAGCTTATTGCTTAGGGTTGCAGACATGTCATTGACATATATTAGACATAAAAGAGGACCTAAAATGAAGATCAGGGGGACACCATAGGTACTCAGAGCAGTAGTAGAATGAGTACCAGCCACATCCACCAGTTGCGGTCTATCAGAGATAAGACTTAACACCATGTAAGAATGTCATTATATATGGCAGATGCTTGAAGTTTCATGAAGAAGAAGAATAAGAACTTCTTCATGTGCAGTATAGTGTGTTCAACTGTATCAAATGCCCTTTGTAGATCTAAAAGTATCATGCAATACTGCCTTTGTCCATTTCAAATAATGCAATCTGTTAAATGAATCAAACATGTGTCAATTGAAAAATCACTTCTAAACCCTGACTGAAACTGCCTGACCATGACTCGAACCCATGACTTTCAGAAGACCAACTGAGCTATCCGGCCGGCTACACATTGTCTTTTTAATAATGAAACAGTTCTTAACCACAACATATTTCCCCACTATATCGATTTGTGTCCGTGAATTTCTTATGTTACAGAGCATAGGAAATTGAACTCATGCTTATATGCAGTCACAGGATGAGAAAAACTTTGAGCTTGACCAGAACTCAAACCTGTGACCAACATAAGAAATTTTATGAAGGCTGATTTGAATTTTGCATCAAGGGCACCGGGCAAAAACATGAAAATGCAACAAACCAACCACTTTGTGGTAGATTGTATTTTCATGTTTTCATCTGGCGCCCGGTTACTTTTTGAACTATGTTGGTTTTCATGTGGCACAAATCACCCACTATAAATTTAGTGCACAAATTTATTCAAGGGCAAGTTACAATCTACTCTATGTACAGTCTGTTGTCGGGTTGACTCAGGAGACCTGGAGGTTGAAACTGGTGTCCCTTCATTACAAATAGATAAGACAGAAGCTGTCCTTTTCAAACTATGCACATGTTAGAAAAAAAAATAGAATAACTATTCAGAATATGATGTTTGAGACTTTATTAATTATATTGCTTGATCCAAGTTTAAGGACATTTTCAATCTATACATGTTTTATCATTTATAACTTTAAATGAAAGTTTAGTTTCAGCCCTTTAATAATAATGACATAACTGTATCTCTTTAAATGCAGAAAAATTATAAGTCTCAACATATCAATATACTACTGTCTAAGATATACATGTATGCACATAACATTAATAATTCCAAGTTTATATTAAATAAATATGAAATCCTAACATTAACATTAACATGCTTTTGATGACCTTACAACTGGTGAATTATATACAATAAAAAAAGTATTATAAAATACCTAAGATAGACAGAAAAGAACAAATAATTTAGTAAACATGAGTTACTTCCCCTTAAAATAGAGAAAAGAACACCCTAAACAGCAAAATTATGAAATGCTGCATGCTCAGTTTTATTAAGCCATGCAAATAATGGTAAAGTATTCATAAAAAAATAGATGGCCATGTGACAGCAGTAATTGCAGAAAATCGGATAGCTTTCAACATCCGGATACTGGTACACTTTGTGAAAACAACCATTCTGCGCAACAGATAAATGTAATAAAGATAAAATCAATAGGATAATCGTTTACAACAGTTCCATTACCTATCCTTATACTCAATTGCAGGTGAACTTTCTTCTTGTACGAAAATTTTGAAAATGTATAAATGAATAAATGAACTGATACGGCCTCAATCTAGACCACAACGATATTCGAAATCCGGGTTTTAGTATTGTCAATAAAACTATGGGACAAGCTGTTAAACTTAACCTGCAATTTCGTGAAAATAATATCGCAATGCACATGCTTTTTACATAAAGTTATTAAATACAAATATAACAACACATTGGTTTACTTGATTTTTACGAATCAAAATAAAACTAATTAACACAACATGAAATTAACTGCTAATAATAACAGCTCCTTCCATAGGCAAAAATAAAAAGCATTCCATAATAGACGACGCCGCTCACCGGCGTCGCCAATAACAAAAATGCGCAACGATACACTCGCATGTTTTACTAATGAATCATAAAAGCGTTTTGTATCCTATAATCTTTTTTTAGAATATGGACCAATTCTGGGATATACATTCAAAATGATAATACCAAGCATTGTGCGTAACATTTTTTTTTTATTATTTCTAATCAATATTGGTTGAAATACTTTCTTGCCACTCTTTTTATTTGTTTTGTTGTGTTCAAGTTTTAAAATCAATTGTTCAACATAAAAGTCTGCATGCATTTATAAATGCATTTAACTTGAAAACATATGTCACCCTAATTGATTTATATACTTAAGGGCAATGAAAACGCACTGTCGGAATAGTTGCATTTTAACAAGGAAAATATATTTCTCTTAAGTATTTATTAACAGTTTCATCAAACCGAATGCATGCCGGTCTTTTTAATACCATAGTTATGAAAAATGATTGCATTTTCATAAGGGAAGTTGCATGATAAAGACAGTACCTGCAAAATCAAAAGTAACACTTTTGGCTAATTGTGATAGTTCACAACGGAAAACAGATTTAATCAATTCATGGTTACTTTATGAAATGCATATTAAATACCGGTATAATTCCTGAATTATGGACTATTGGTATAATCAACCCAATATATAAAAACAAATGGGACAAATCTGACCCTGGAAATTATAGGCCTATAACTTTGTTAAGTTGTTTAGGTAAAGTTTTTACATGTATTTTAAATAAAAGAATAACTGATTATGTTGAATCTAATGAAATAATTAACAATGTACAGGCAGGTTTTAGGAAAGGATTTTCTACTTCAGATCATTTAATTGTTTTGCAACACTTTATTCATTATCTTAATAACAATGGAAAAAAAAGCTTTTTTGCTCCTTTATTGATCTTAAACAAGCATTTGACACAGTTTGGAGAAATGGTTTATGGGAAAAACTGATAAACTCAAATATTAATGGAAAATGTTTTCAGGTCATTAAAAATTTGTACAGTAACATTAAGTCATGAGTTAAGGTAAATTCTTGTTTTTCTAATTTTTTTCCTTGTAATATAGGTGTACGTCAAGGAGAAAATTTATCGCCATTGCTATTTTCATTATTTTTAAACGATCTAGAATCGTATTATTTTTATGCCCCCGCCATATAATGGCAGGGGCATATAGTGTTACCCTGTTCCGTCATTCCGTCATTCTGTCATTCCGTCCTTCCGTCCTTCCGTCATCATCAGTTTCCGTTCATTATCTTAATAACCCTTGCACATATTGAACTCAAATTTGACATATGGATATGTCATGAGAAAATACAGGTCAAGTTCGAAATTGGTCATGGTTCGATGATTTTTGGCAGAGTTATGCCCCTTTTACATTGAAAATAATATGAAATTTTCAGTTTCCGTTCATTATCTCCCAAACGGTTCAAAACATTCAATTCAAAATTGACATATGGATATGTCATGAGAAAATACAGGTCAAGTTCGAAATTGGTCATGGTTCGATGATTTTTGGCAGAGTTATGCCCCTTTTACTTTGAAAATAATATGAAATTTTCAGTTTCCGTTCATTATCTCCCCAACGGTACAACACATTCAACTCAAACTTGACATATTGATATGTCATGAGAAAATACAGGTCAAGTTCAAATTTGGTCATGGTTCGATGATTTTTGGCAGAGTTATGCCCCTTTTACATTGAAAATAATATGAAATTTTCAGTTTCCGTTCATTATCTCCCAAACGGTTCAAAACATTCAATTCAAAATTGACATATGGATATGTCATGAGAAAATACAGGTCAAGTTCGAAATTGGTCATGGTTCGATGATTTTTGGCAGAGTTATGCCCCTTTTACTTTGAAAATAATATGAAATTTTCAGTTTCCGTTCATTATCTCCCCAACGGTACAACACATTCAACTCAAACTTGACATATTGATATGTCATGAGAAAATACAGGTCAAGTTCAAATTTGGTCATGGTTCAATGATTTTTGGCAGAGTTATGCCCCTTTCACTTTGAAAATAATATGAAATTTTCAGTTTCCATTCATTATCTCCCCAATCGTACAACACATTTAGCTCAAACTTGACATATCGATACGTCAAAGGAATGCGCAGGTCAAGTTCAAATTTGGTCATGGTTCGATGATTTTTGGCAGAGTTATTCCCCTTTTACTTTGAAAATAATATGAAATTTTCAGTTTCTGTTTATTATCTCCCCAACAGTATTAAACATTCAACTCAAATTTGACATATTGATACGTCAAAGGAATGCGCAGGTCAATTTCAAATTTGGTCATGGTTCGATGATTTTTGGCAGAGTTATGCCCCTTTCACTTTAAAAATAATACATGTATGAAATTTTCAGTTTCCATTTATTATCTCCCCAACAATATTACACATTCAACTCAAATTTGACATATGGATATGTTTTTGGAATGCGCAGACCAAGTTCGAATCTGGTCATGGTTCAATGATTTTTGGCAGAGTAATGCCCCTTTCACTTTGAAAATGATATGAAATTTACAGTTTCTGTTCATTATCAACCCAACAGTGTTACATATTCAACTCAAAATTGACATATGGATATGTCAAATGCGCAGGTCAAGTTGGAATTTGGTCATGGTTCGATGATTTTTTGGCAGAGTTATGTCCCTTTCACTTTGAAAATAATATAGATACATCTTAGGAATAAGCAGTTTAAGTTTGAATTTGGTCGTGGTTCAATGATTTTAGACAAACTTATCTTTCCTGAATGTTGGAAAAATTTTGAACTTTCACTTTCAGCACTCATACTTTTGTGGAAATGTATATAGCCATTATGTTGGCTACAAATATGCAATATGCTATTTTTAACATTGAAAAGTTTTAAGGGCTTTGAACTTAGAATGAAAAAAATAATTTGTGCAAACAAATTTGGAACTAAATATTATAACATTTGAAATTTTGGCTGCATGCGGGGGCATCCGTGGCATGATGACACATTTCTAGTTAAATGATAGTAACGTACATGGAATAACATTGGTAAATGGAAGTAATACAAATGAGCTTTTCTGTCTTTTAAAATTATTTATATTACTCTATGCTGACGATACGGTAATAATATCAGAAACAGCAGATGATTTACAAAAAGCATTAAATATATATGAACAATACTGTGATAATTGGAAACTTAAGGTTAATACGTCAAAGACAAAAATCGTAGTTTTTTCTAAAGGTAGACAACAAATGTATAATTTTACTTTTAAAAACGAACCTATCGAGGTAGTAAATGAATACAAATATCTTGGAATTTATTTTAGTAAAACAGGTTCTTTTCTAAAATGTAAAAAAACATATTGCAAGCCAAGCTACAAGAGCCATGTATAGTTTAGTAAAAAATTCTAATCGTCTCAATCTTCCAATAGATTTACAAATTGAATTATTTAATAAAACAATTAAGCCGATTTTACTGTACGGTGTAGAAATTTGGGGATATGGTAATCTCGACATTATTGAGCGAGTTCAACTAAGGTTTTTAAAAATTATTCTTAAATTAAAAAAGTCAACAGAAAATTATTTTGTTTATGGAGAAACCGGTTGTTTGCCTCTAGCTATTGACATCGAATAAAGTATAATATCATTCTGGTCAAAATTATGTAATAAAGACGATGTTAACGCTAATAATAAATTGTCAATTCTTGTCTATAATAACTTACTACACTCAACAGCTGGTTTAAGTGATAATTTGCTTAAAAAGAAATTTCCATGGTTTTTTAATGTCAAAACTATTTTAATCAAATGTGGTCTACCACAAGTGTGGTTCGACAACACATTTACAAACTCTGAGTGGCTCAAACTTTCTGTTAAACAAAAGTTAAAAGATCTTTTTTTAAATGAGTGGTATTCTAAAATTGAAAATTCGAGTAACAGTTTGTTTTATAGAATAATTAAGAGAACTTTTGGATTTGAATCGTACTTGGCAAATTTAGATAGTTCATTACTGTACTTTTTTATTAAATTTCGAACAAGAAATCATCGATTTCCTATAGAAACGGGAAATTGGTCCAGTACTCCAATTAACCAAAGATTTTGTTCTAATTGTCAAAATAAAATTGGCGACGAATTTCATTATTTACTTGAATGTTGTCAATTCAACGAAGAAAGAAAACAATTTTTGAAAAAAGTATATTATCAACGACCAAACATTTTTAAACTAGAAAATCTTATGTGTACTAAAAACAAATCTGAATTTCTCAAATTGTGTAAATTTGTTAAATGTATTATTCAAAAAATAAGAACTTAACTATCCACTGGAGCCTCGTATGATTATATCATTTATTGTAAATTCCTCATATTTGCATGTATACATGTATTGAGAGAAATAAAGATTATGAAATTATTTATTTTTTTTAACTGTTAATAATTAACTTGTTTTCTCACCTTTCTAGAAATGTTAGACACAAATAAGCAATAATTAAATTTTTTATGAAAATGAATATTAAACTATGCTAATGGTCAGTTTTAGAAATCGTAAAAGCTCACATTGAAATTGCATATACATACTTTTCCTCTATAAAATGTGCTTAATTTCAAACACTTCTGAAGATTTGCTAGCAAATTGTATGCAATGATTCTACAAAGAATTAACCGCTGGGTAGATTTAGGACAGATTCAGTCTGGTCTATCTTACAATCAAACTTTGTATTATCAAAGTGCCAGCCGTTGTGGTGTCCATCGGTCTACAATTTCTCGGCTTCACCAGCGGTTTCGCACTACACTACAGGGTGAATGGCGTCAGATTCCACAGGCGACTATCCGCACCGTAAGGTCCATGAGTCGACAATGTACATCTGTAAGAGACGCTGATGGAGGATATTGTCGTTTCTAAAGAATTCGACGGTGACTTTACGAATAGACATTTATGAGTGACTTTGTTTTTGATTTTGGTTTTTGCCTTTGTTAAGTTTGCATTACTGTGATGAAAAAGTGTGATTTTGGGATTTTCAGCTAAGGTTCTTCGATTTACTGGTGTACATTTGATTTTAAACATTTTGAATTATTTTCAGTTGTAAGGTTTGCGTTTTGTATTAAAGTTATGATATATATATAATTGGGTCGTTAGTGTTTTGTTTTCATGAAATAAAATGCATATACTGCGGGCGTGCGTTTTCATTGTCCTTAAGTATAGATGTTTTCTTACTACAAGTAATGGGAAGTGGATACGAAAGATGTTTGAAAATGCTTATCGCAGCTTTCAATGACATGTAAAGATGATGCCTACCTGATACAAATCTATGTATTCGGTCTGCAGTCGTTGAAGACTTCCTTCTAGAGCCTGAGTAATGTGTCGTCTGCTTAAACCAAGATTGTTCGGTTCTTTGTCTTTCGTACTGTTGCGCACTTTTGTAGCCAATACCACGTCATTTCTGTTTCTGTGTTTACTGTGAATCATTATGGTATATTTATAAACAACCGTCATATTTTTTTTCGCGGAAGTTACCTTGATGAGGTTGAGGATTTGAATTAAAATAAAACGCAAAGTGCACTGACTTTAGGCGTCAGAAAAAAAGTTTTGCATGAAGAATCAAATCGATTTCCCAATATGCGAACATAAAGTTCTTTTGTCGTTTGGTTTAGGAAGATCATAACGCCTAAGTATGTAAATATTCAACACAATCAGAGAGATTTACAGTATAAATCTCCATGGACGTTGCTAACGTCTCTCTGCTGAACATTTAATCATATAACTTTGTGCCCGGACTAAATATGTCAGTGTTTTATAAGGTTGTAGTTGGTTTATACAGAATTTATTTTAGTGCGATTTTGTAGGAAGCTATTACTTATAACACTTTCGAATCCGTTCCTGGAACCATTGAGTGTAAAAGGTTTTTGCTCAATGAAAGAGATGGGATTTGAACCCATGCGACTAGCTATCATTAGATTATGAGTCCGATGCATGAACCACTCGGCCATACCGCCACAACAAGCTTGTAGTTCGGATATGCGCCGCACACTTACATGGGAATTAACATGTAATTGACGTTACGCAAGAGAAGAGATTGCTCCGCCCACTGATTCACGTGACCCGGTCATTCAGAACCTTAAGTAGGCAAAAGACTGCACCGACGTTCACGCGAAACTGTCATGTGACTAATGAATTTACCTTATCACGGGGGAGGAAGTGTTACACGAAGGATGGAGTTCTTATGATAACTAGTTCAGGAGTTCTTGTGATAACTGTCACGGAGTTCGTCGGAAAACATCTGTATATACTACAAAAACACTCGTCAAAAGTGGTTATTTTCATCGTTCAAAAATGAGTTTAGGTGCTAAATTAAACGTTAATGATTAAGCTTGTCTTACATCTTGTATTATGTGTCAAAAACTAATTCACAGGCTATTTTCCATCGCCTCTTGCTTCAAATCTGGTAGTTTTGAGTAAAATTTCCAAATTATTTGCCAATTCACAAGTTTTGACCGGTTTATTTCTTGTCTTCATCCTTGCCATACAGAATTACCTAATTATTATGCAAAATTGCAAACATAAAGCACCTGCTTACAGATTTATACTCGATTTTTTAAATGACCCGGAGTTCTTGTGATAACTCTGAAGATGTCACAGAGTTCTTATGATAACTTTTGTTATTGCCAGTGTGTTTCTTGCGCTAAATCACGGCGCGTTTTGGCTTTTATTATCATTCAATAAGATTGTAAATCATTATGAAATGCAGAACGAACGATCATCCTTTGCACAAATATGTGGACAAAACGTTGGTCTTTAGTGTCTGCAAAGGATAAATAGGTGATAGGCTATCATCAACAGTAAAAATTGAACTAGCGGCCACTGATATTCAGCAGTATATAATGGTTTAAATCACAAAACAAAGATGTCTCAAAAAGTACACGTTGTTCTCAGTTTCACATGTTTTAAGCAACCACCTTTCTTAAGCAGACAATATATAGGCACATTTCCCTTTACCCTAAGGGCTAAGTAATATGTATCATTTTATACCATAATAAATAGTATATAACCAGGATAATTTCCACACCTATGTCTTAAAAAAGTACGATACATGATAAAAACTCAAACAGCGGTTGGCTCTAACTACCAAACTCTCGAAAAAATTTGAACTGTCCCTCCAGGTTCCAGATTTACCTAGAATGGGATTTCAGTTATAGTGCATGGGCATTCAAACTAGAATCCCCCAAGTGTTGCTTGTAAGTGTTGCAAGTTCTCTAATGTAACTTTAAACAACTGACAAAACTTTGAAACATATTAATCGCAGTACTATTATAACTGCTGTTTTACATAGAAACAAATGTTTCTCTGATTGATGCAGTAAACATAGATGCTTAACTGAGAAAAAATAGACTGTATGTCTGGATGAAAATGATAAAGGGCAGAAAACTGCAAGGGGCCCGGAAACTGCTAGGAAACCAGTACATGAATCTTTTTTTCCAGTCTCAAACAAAAAAATATACTATGAAAAAGAAACGGGGGGTAAGACATAATATCTCTTGAACTAAAGTTCACTCAAAACCAACATTATATATCATTTTTTTGCGCAAAGGATGAGCGCACTACATATCATCATGATTTACAATCTCACTGAATAATAAAAAACGCTAAAACGTGCCGTGATTTAGCGCAAGAAACACAATGGCAATAACAATAGTTATCATAAGAACTCTGTGACATCCTCAGAGTTTTTATCACAAGAACTCCGGGACATTTGAAAAATCGAGTATAAATCTGTTAGCAGGTGCTTTATGTTTGCAATTTTGCATTATAATTAGGTTATTAAGTGCGGCAAGGATGAAGACCAGAAATAAAACAGGTCAAATACTTGTGAATTGACAAATAATTTGGAAATTTTAACTCAAAACTACCAGATTTGAAGCAAGAGGCGATTAAAATGGCATGTGAATTAGTTTTTGACACATAATACAAGATGTAAGACAAGGCTTAATCATTAAAGTTTTTAATTTAGCACCTAAACTCATTTTGAACGATGAAAATAACCATTTTAACCAGTGTTTTTGTAGTATATACAGCATGTTTTCCCCTTCGAACTCCGTGACAGTTATCACAAGAACTCCTGAACAAGTTATCATAAGAACTCCATCCTTCGTGTAACACTTCCTCCCCCGTGCTTATGTAATTTGGTATAAATAACATTTTAATGCTTTTATTGACTAGTTTAATGTTTTATGATATTTAAAAAAGTAACAAATAACTGCATTCACGCATTTTTGATGAATAAAACGTTTGGCAAAGATCTTGTTGTATTTCTCGCAGACTTCAAGGAAGATGTTACTGACAAAATATCATTTTAGTTAACAAATTCAAAGATAGTTAAAATTGATGTAGCGGAATAGATATTAGTAAACGTATATCATTTCATTTCATTTATTGGCAAATTGGCATTATAAATGTCTTTGTGGCATTATATTTTTTTTTACCATCAAAATACTAAATATGGCAAAAACATATAGTTTACAAAAAAGCTTCACAAAAACTACACATTTAATCTTTAAATAATAAAAAATCAGTAAATATCAAACATTAAGAAATTTTAAACTCACAAATGAAATAAATTCTACGAATCAATGAAACAGTAACATTTACAAATGTTTTTGGGGTTTAATGTGCGAAATCACTTATATGTAATGCATTTGTGCATAAATAGTCAAAATTTAATGAGAAAATTGCCCTTGCGTAACTTTGTTGTATGATATATGATCACATGTATATTTGTATATTAGATATTTTCGTGATAAAACGCAATATTATTCACTTCAAAATGATTTTTGCATGTACCAGACATCGGCTTTGAATTAAAACCGTGATTAGATATGATGTTATTGAAGCATGAAATGTATTTAAATATTAAATCTAAATTCATTGAGGTTTCATAGAAATATTTATGTAGGATAATTTCACCTAAAATATTTATTTTCTCATTTCATTTCCAAGAACTTTTTTCTACGGCAGCATTTTATTAACACTATGTTGTAAACGAACAAAAAAATGTCTTTTCATCTGGATATTCTGGGACCTTATGATATACATGTATTATGCGATTATGAAAAGACATAATTGTAGTGAAGGAAGGAAAGAGTATTTGTTTAAACTTATTCCTTGTGTAATGCAATGTGGTATAGCCAGTTTTAACTTTCGTACCTGTTATACAACTTATTATCTTCATATCCTATAAAAAGACACTGATATTTTTGTTTTTGTGAAATGAACTAACTGACTCCATCTGTCAATATTTCAGATTATTTAATTTTACACATAAAATATGGTGCTATATCAGTCAAAAAATTTTCATATTTTTTAAAAATAAATATGGAATATAAATATGAAAGTGGGAGGAGTCAAAACTCATATTTATTTTACGGGACTTCTTTCGCCATTTTGTTTGAAAAATCTGAAAATTCAAAACAAATTTTTGTTGAATTTTGTTTTGAAAACTATCTTGAATGATAGAAAACGCTCTATCTAAGAAAATAAATCCGAACACCAATATCTTTAATTCAGTCATTAACGCTGTACAGACGTTTAAAGAGTTGTTTACGTGACGTCACAATATAGCGCTAAATATCACATGCAAAACAAGACAATAATTTCATTACTGCGCGCTGTACTTGTAAGTGCAGTTGCGTAGCAAATTGAAATTAAATAAAAAGGTTATTTTTTCGTTGTTCGTGAAATATGGTATATATTTTCACTCAACATGATAAAATGCCACATATTTTCACTCGCCGTCCCGGCTCGTGAAAATATGTGGCATTTTATCATGTTTCGTGAAAAATATTCCATATTTCACGAACAACGAAAAAATATCCTCTTAATATTTTGTAAATCAGATATACCGTTTTAATATCTTTAAATTGACAAAAAAATAATTTCAATATAAAAACTGCTTCTCAGACATCTTAGCGTTAAACTGAAAACGATCGAGATCGCCGATTGGCTTATCTGTAAGACCCCTGCCAGCTTGATTGACAGGCGGCGTAATGGCAATTAAGGCACTAAAGTTTGGATCTGATAACGATAGTCATTAAGTATTTATTTTACACTCCAATAAAGCCCTGTCTTAATGGTTCTGCTATACACATAAATATTATATTGAAACATGCTGCTGCCTACCTTTGCAACCAATTACCAATAATTGTTTCAGATGAACCACCAGTGTAAACGTTGGCAGTGTCAATAAAGTTTCCACCGAGATCCACAAAACGGTTTAAGAGTGAATGCGCAGTCTTCTCGTCAGAATGAGTTGGTGTGTCATGAAACTAGCAAATTTAATGATTAAGTTATTCTGCGCTTTTCTGAATTCTATTCAACAGGTTAATATAATTATATACATTGTTCTTTAAACTTTAAAAGCAGTCTGTCTGTCTGATGAAATTCGTTATGAAATCAGGAAGTATTAAAACATGCATAGTCAAATATAAAATCTGATATATTTTCAATCAATTGGATGTAAATTGCGTTTTCATTTCAGCACTATTAATATATCATTTTCATTTAGTTAGATATTGACGTTTTGTGAGGAATAAATTAAATAAATTTCAGATAAAAAGCTTTTGATAAAAAACAAAAAACATTAATAAGGTGTTCATATTTATGTTAAATCTTACATTAAATGGACCTCCTTCTTGTTTTCCAAACGTCATTGTACCGAGGCAAATATTTGATACTTTTACACCTGTCTTTCCTAAGAAGTTGTACTCCACGTCTGTTGTAGTAGCCATTTTTACTGTTTGTCCCTGTTAATACTAAATACACAAGTATTTTTTATAATGGGTGAGTTTGGGCTTCCGATGAGTTGATGTTATGGGATGACTCCATCTAAGGCTTTGAATTCTTTCATTTTCGAAAGCTTTCCAACCAACGTGGTTCTACTTATGTGCCCGCACATGCATTGAGATAATGCAAGACTGGGAACCGAAGCAAGAATTTCCACCAGTAAACATGTAAAATGTACAAATGTCTCTATTTTTGATACCCAACCAAATGTGCAAGATTTAAGGCAAATCATACGAATTGATTTTGATCGGCCTATGTATCTCCTCAAATCATGATGTTAAGACAGTCGCGACATTCAAATGCTCATTAAACATTCTATTGGATATGCCAAAATATTAAATGTTACGAACTTTAGGAAAAACAATATAAATCATATTGCACCTATATAAAACTGGTCGTGCTCTATCATATTGATATACAAGTAGATTTTCTATTAATAATAATGCTGTATAGTGTTTGATAAACAAAAACGAATATAGTGTTTGATAAACAAAAACGAATACCTAATATATACAAACGAAAATACTAGCATAGTATCAAAAGGTTATGGACAAGACTCGTACGTGTTATGTCCTGCGTCCGTACTCGATAACGAAAGTTACTTTTTGTGCAAAAAAGAGCGGATTGATTCCTAAAAGCATAAGTCGTATGACTTGACTTGTGTCTTGCGTTGTGTTTACGATAAGTATACATTCTATATATTATAATCGATGAAATAAAAGATAAATACACTTTTACAGAGAAAAGAAATGATTTCGAAATAACCCAAGGCCAAGTTCTTACAACATTAGCGACCGGCCCTCCCCTTATACTTAAACTGATATAAAAAAAATTTAATACTTGCATGATGCACGATAAACACAAACCTTTTATAAACAGTAAGTCCGGACAAACATGCATATAGCACACCGCTTTTAACGTTGTTTTCTATTTGACATGACTTGATAAATGTCGCTTCAGGTGAGGCTATAAAGCAGCTGTTTACATCGATGGAAAATATGTAAATACTGCATTCTATATACATGTATTCATAATGATAAAACTGCACGTTTGTAACGGACAATCGAGATCTTTATATTCACTATAAAATAAATGTATAATGGTAAAACAAACTTACATAGATGTTCGAGTGCTCACACGGATTCAATTAGGTTAATCTGAGCCATTGCGCCATCGCACTGGGTCAACCACCACCAAATTTTGGACATTGACCACTCCTCCCCATCCTATTTGGAAATGCTGGATGCCAAATATTAGACCTTTCTATCATCAAATCCAGCACTCAATGTTTTTGAGTAACTTCATTTATTCTTACCAATACTGTCTTTAGATCCTGCTCTAGTACTATCAAGTGAGCAGCCAACTACGACTAACTTGGAATTTACCTAACTGCTGAAAGAGCACTAAAAGCTTATCAATGCAACCAACCCTCTGCGTTATGGAATTCAGTAAGGATTCAGCAGAATAAATTGTTACCAGTAGCACCTATAGGAGAATCAACCAACACATTGTATCTAACAATCACCAACAAACACAGAAACCTTCTTCAGATCTAATTAATTCACTGAAGACTTATCTCTTACTACTGTCAAATACTCTTACCCTCTCATGCACTGGTTCAAATTCAGATGCAAGGGTATGCAACCTATGTCTAGAGACTATCGCATCACCTATCACATCTACCAGCTTAACAGCTTGAGCATCCTGACCCAATTTTCTAATAATTTTAAGATAGATATTACCATTTTTGATGAGTGTTTGTTCGGTACACTCAAGGTTTTCCGACGAAATCCTTAACGTTGTCCAAGAACTCAATGACAGTTATCAGGAAAACTCCCGACAAGATATCAAAACAACTCCATCCTCCGTGTAACAGTTCCTTCCCTTTGCATAACAACAAAGATGTTTAGACCATTGCAAAGCCAAACCGCCGAATACCATTTAAAACTTAAAAGTTAATATATCATGGGTGTCACCCCTGATAATTATTCCTTAAAAGCAATGAAGACAAAAGACGTGCGTACAAATACAGCACGATGAACCTAAACGTTGTCCATGCCAAACATTGACGAAACACTAAGTGGTGCCTAGTTCTTCACTGAAGTAGATCTTTACATGATGTATCTTCATATATAGCTAAACCAACAATAAAACAGCATTTGTCAGGATATATTTAACAATGGTATCACCATTGTCGACACATATTTGAAATATCTTGTGATTCAAAATAAATCAACGCGTAACATAACATAAGCTTCAAGACACACTTAACATTGATGATATATTTGCATAAAGCACAACAAAAGAACAACATGACGCAACGCTGCGCAAAGTATTTTCAGCGCCCAAGAGGCTAAAGAAACGTAGATGTCAATTCTGCAAGACAGCCTTACACCCTTGCTGCTATTATAACAACATAAAGGCAGTCCTAACAAGTAAAATCTTTTTAAAGAAGGGAATGGTCAAAAACATCACACTTATTTTATGGCATAATATGTTACTGTCCAAGGTTTTTTACGAACTTTGCTAAATTCTTAAGTCTGTCACGTATATAATTATAAATTTAGTTTAAAAAATGATCTACACGGAATAAAAAATATTACATTCTTTTCGCATCAAGTCGTTTTGGTATACAAAAAACAACTTTACTGTGTAAGGTTGGAGCAAAACATGTCCAAATGTTACGCTTCGTACTTATACATGCCAGGTACGTATAAATGTTACAATTTATAAAAACCAGACTTGGTACTTTGTAGTCGGTACTAGTATAAAATAGAAAAATCCAAACAACATATGTAATAAAAAGAGCATCAAAACACGAGGCTATATATCTGAGTATTAATCAGATTGCCGAGTGTTTAGATGTTCTTTCTCTTTTGTATCATAATCAAACATAAAATCACATTCCCTGTTGCCAAGAAAAAAGTAACAAATGAACGAACATATGAATATGATATTTCTGTCGTTTGCCCTTTCTCTGCCGTCACAATACGTAAACCCCAGCAAAAATGTGCCAATTAATGGGTATGCTTTTGAGTGCTGCACTCCATTTAACTAACTGTGCATGCAATTGTATACGATTTAACTCTTGATACATTTTCATCAGAAAGGTCCCCGCACTATGATACAATTAACTATACTGCTCAGTAGACTGGTATAGCATGTAAATTACGTTTATTAAAACCAATTCCGGTACTTACGAATAATGTTGCAAATAATTTTGCGACAACCTTAGCTCTATGACAACTATTTGCTTGATTAATGTAGAAATTGCTTTCTAGAAATATATTCCCATAAGATATACGATAACAACCATGTACTTGTAGCATCAAAGAACTTGAAGGCGCAAGACTGTTTTTTCTGAAAGACCCAAGTTTGCTTGTCATTAGACGATGATAATTTTCCAAATAGAAAATAATGGAAATAATTTTTAGAAGACTCTTGTAATGTTACGGAATACAAGCTGTTTACACGTTAAGAAATAGGAAGTTTGTTGTTCATTAAAGCATATTATTTAACAACCCTTTATTGACAATAAAGAAAAAAATCATTTCCAAAATTGGGACTAACAAAATGTTTCGCCGATAAATATATCAATTCGATGGAAATTCATTAAAATTTAATTTATGTCTCATGTGCCTGATAAATGGCCAGCTAGGACGTCCAAGTCCATTTCACTGCTATTTCATCAAAGAGTAAAGATCTTTAGATATTCAACATTACTTTAACAAGATTGATGTACATGTGAAAGCTTTTATCAACAATTTGCTTTAAGTGACATTAAGTCCACCGATGCTTAAATTTTGAATCCACAGGCATTTCTATAAATATCGTTCGGGGTTTAATTTTTTTAAAAAAAGAGTGGACAGTAAAATAGTTTTTTTTAATTATTTACACTAATTAACTTATCGAAAATGACATTGTTATGTAGCATTCTTTAAAACTATGCCATGGTCAAGCCCTAACTTCGGTATGTGTTACTGGGATAACAGCTATGACTTTTCGCCGGTTGCATTTTGTTTAGAGAGGCAAATCAGTTTTGTTATATTTTCTTATATGTAATGTTGGTACATATTATATATACTGTAATTTGAACTTGATTAGCCCTTGATATATAACTTAAAAAGACATTAATTGAAAGATTTGATATAAGGACGTTGGATTAATTGTTCAGTGCATTAAATTAATTTACCTTCTTTAGTTTTTTTCTGCAGAAATGATATGAAAATCATTAACATTTATAATTTCTGCTTATTTTTAATGTTTCTTTTATTCTGTAAGAAAGTACGTCTATCTTATATAAAAATGACATTCAAATAGTATACATGTAAAATTTAAAAAGTTTAAAACAATGTGCACTTTAATGTACTTATATAGAAGTCACTTTAACAAGTTGGAATTGTAGAATTGTTGTTGTGATTGTATGACGTTACAATTGTCAATATGACTTGATTTATGACCTTTAACCAAAGTTGCTAAGTAAAGAACTTTTTACGTAAACATCTAAAAGTGCAGACACATGCGTCTCTAGTTTTTAGACAAGGAATTGAATTGTTCCTTCTTAATATTTTGCCGTGTTAAATAACTTCCACTGACAATCGATATTAATTGTAGTTTCTAACTATTGAATTTTAATTATGTGCTTTGAAATTGTATGGAATATAATGATTTACTATATACAAATAAAAAAGGTTCTGTTCAGTTTTGATAATTTATAGTTGGTCGTTTATTTTTTTTTAAATTGCATAATTTGATAACCCTTAATTTTAAAAAAATGAGATTGATAAAGACATATTTGATAGATGTTTATGGTAGGATTTTTAGCCCTTTAAAAAGATTTTCTCTCTTTGTTGAAATCATTAAATATACGATTGAAGTCCGTGCACAAATATACTTAAGGACAATGAAAACGCACGGTCGGGATAATTGCATTTTAACAAGGAAAATATATTTCTTTTAAATATTTGTTCACAGTTTCATAAAACCGAATGCTATCCGGTCATTTCGGGACCAAAGTTATGAAAAATGATTGCATTATAATGAAGTTTATCCATAATAAAGACAGTACCCGAAAAATCAAAAGTAACACTTTTGGCTAATTGTGATAAGATCACAACGGAAAACAAATTGGACCAATTCATGGTTACTTTATGAAATAAAATTATTAAAAAAAATTTAACTGTTAATTATTAACTTGTTTTTCATAACTTACTAGAAATGTGAGGCACAAATGAGCAATTAAAATCTTATGAAAATGAATATTAAACTATGCCAATGGTCAGTTTTAGAAATCGTAAAAGCTCACATAGAAATTGCATATACACACTTTTCCTCTGTAGAAGGTGCTAAATTTCAAACACTACTGAAGACTTGGCAATGGATCTACAAAGAAATAACCGCTGGTTAGATTTAGCACAGATTCAGTCTTGTCTATCGTACAAACAAAGCGCAACCGTTTTGGTGTATACGGTCTACAATTTTTCTGTTTCACCAGCGTTTTCGCACTACACTACAGTCTGAATGGCGTTAGATGCCACAGGCGACTATCCGCACTGTACGGTCTATGAGGCGACGATGTACATCTGTAAGAGACGCTGATGGAGGACATTGTTGTTTCTAAAGATCCCGATGGTGACATTACGAATAAACATTTATGAGTGACTTTGTTTTTGATTTTCATTTCGGTTTTTGCCTTTGTTAAGTTTGCATTAACGTCATGAAAAAGTGTGATTTTGAGATTTTCAGCTTAGGTTCTTCGATTTACTGGTGTACTTATGATTTATAACATTTTGAATTATTTTTAGTTGTTAAGTTTGCGTTTTGTATTAAAGTTATGATATATATCTAATGGAGTCGTTAGTGTTTTGTTTTCATGTAATAAAATGCATATAGTGAGGGCGTGCGTTTTCATTGTCCTTAAGTATATGTATTGAAAAAATACAAACACTACATGTAAAATTATACAAACATATACTAAAATAATATAATACAAACAATA